CCGTAGTGGCAGAACTCCAACGCTCCTTTCTTCCTTTCTTTCCTTGTGTTTTCTGTTGCACTTTGGGGCACAACGCTACAAGTGGGGAGCGGGTGCGGTAGATAACGAGATAAGCGGAAACCAGAACCGACTGCTGAAGACACGAGTTGTCTTCATCGTCTTTAACCGCTGGCCAAATCTAGCGTTTTGGCCTTTCGGAGCCGGTTACAGAAGACCAACAGGTTCAACCAGTGTACGGAACAACAGACCCGCAAAGTGTTCTGTTCGGTAAGCTTGGCTTGTAACTGGCGAGCAAGTCTTTGAACTGGGGGTTTCTTCTCCTGCAGGAAGAGAAGGCATAGAGCAAGCCGTGTTCAAGCCCGAACAGCCTCTAGTTGCTATTTCTTCGGCTCCTTCTTCTTCGACTTCTGCTGCCTCTCTTTGGTTGAGTGGGGTGGCGCCATCGGGGGGATGAACCAGAGGTGGTGCAAGAAAAAGCAGGTTCGGAGTTAAACCAGGAACCGTCAGCAGCCAAGACAGTCAACCACAGCAGCACAAATCATCGACAGATAGTGGCTGTGCTGCCACCTCTGGAGACGAGACGGTGGTAGCATCATGGCAGCCCCATCGGCATGGATCGATCGTGAAAGCCCCGGTGGCAGAACACGAAGTAAAACAACCTCTACCAGATTTCTACCAAAGCTGCTTCGCTGTATTCGCTCATATCACACAGATCCACACAAACACACATGCATACAGCCGTGTGCGTACACTCACTCACTCACATAGAATGCAACCAGCGAGAGCTACCCTCTTCAGGGGAAGAAGAATGCAGCGGTGAGCCGCTGGTGAGCTGGGCATCATCGAACCAGCCCATGAGAGCGAACAACGATGGGCAGCCACCCGGCAACCAGTAACCCATCATGGCCACGCGTGGGGTTCAGCAGCGTCCTACCAACCTGCGTAGCGGGCTGCTCCGAAGCTTGGATTGGGGTAGTAGCGTCGGTGTACTTCGGATAGATGTTGGCGTACGGAGTAGCAAACGACGTACCAAACGGACATTGTTACGGAAGTGATATTGTCATTTGTGAACGTGCGTCAAAAAAGCGGCGCCGTTTATGCGTGCTGTGTATGTGAGAGTGCGTTTGTGTATGGAAAGTGCAATTTTATGGAGGTTTGCCTTTATGATTAAGTAGCAATGCCCATTTTATAACCACAGTGCACGGGTTTAAGGCCTGTTTGTGCAGAGAAATCGTTGGAATTAGATAGTTGAAATACGCGATGGACCCTGTCAGAGTTGTGTGTGACAAACGCGGAGCATAGAAAATATATATCCGTTGCACATTAGTACTACATTACTACATAAAAAGGAATGAATATGCTCCGAGATAATTTTCTGTTGTGCAATTTCGTAACGTGAATTTAACGGCACACATATTTCAAGCATTAAACGCTGCTGATGTATGTGCTGAATAAAATCCTCAACGTTGCAAGCAGTAATTGCAGAAGTTTGATAGTAGCATGTTATGTTACAGTATTTATGTTGTCGGCACGTTAAACAGCCTTGTGGTTTAACATTGTTTTGGATGTAAACTTCGTGCCAGATCTTTTAATACACGTTAATGTTGCTCTTAATTGAAGCTTCGCAGGCTGTAGGACATCGTGCAGCACGTTTCTACTGATAGAAAGCTTCGCTGCGAAAAATGTGTAGCACAGCTGCTTCGGTATGCTTAATGCTTTCTTTTTTATCGAAAAGCTGACATATATTTGTTAAAGTAAAGTGATGCTCATAAGCATGTCAGTTTTCATACCTGTACTCCTTTCGCGTTATTGTCTGTAACATATTTTTTGTTGCTTCCGATTTTACTTGACGGATTTTTTTTACTCAAATATTGCAAAATTTATCTTAATTTTTTTTGAGATTTCAATTTTAGGTTGATGCGTAGTAGCGTCTGTCGTAGTGAATGAAAAAAGCCTAAGAAAAGCGATAAATCAATTTTTTCTTTGTTTCACTCTGATAGTAGACAAGTGTCATGTAGTATTGAAAAAGTCTATACGACTGTTATTAACGTGCTATTACAGAATGGTATTTTACCTTTTTTGTTAACAAAGAATCGACTTTCGATTCCTGTTATGTTTTACTGTTGCTATCAACACAAAACACGTGTTACGCGGTCGAGGGAGATTCCAAAACTTAGACATATCTACCTGTGTAACAATTATTGTCCTTCAGAAGTGGCTTGAGGCAATGGCCTATGAATTAGGGAAATCGAGCACGGTACATCTTTTAGGTCAAGAAGCTTGACAAATTACTTTTGACTAGTGCTGAAAAGATGTATGGAGTATTTGTTATATACGCTACACCTATCTTAGGTTCGGCAACCTTATAACTTAAGTGAAATACAAAAGTGTCGGAAGTGCTGTTTTTTTGGCCTCTCGAGACAATGGCGGTAGCTTTGTAAAACAAAGAGGGCAAATATATAACCATGAAGAAGTGAAAATTACAAAAAGGAAGCAATAAACAGAGGCTAATACTACTTATGCTGCAACCGAGTAAAGCTGAGAAAAGGACACCTATTTATGACATTCTACATTCGCTCGACAAGAGCGAAGAGAATTATAATGGGTATGCTTTGATCAGTATGTTGTTGGCACACATAGTCGATTGACAAGTTTAAAGCAAAGTAAAGTAGCGCATGTTCCAGTTACAATGCCTTAATTCCTTTTGAAAGCTGCTTTGTGAGCGGCTTGGTAAAGACTAATTACATTATTTTTTTATCGACGGCGCTCAGCGAATAGTTGGCCTTAAGCACTGACCTCTGCCATTCCCAAAGCTGAGAGACCACTGGAAAGGTACTGCCCTTCAGAAATTTCACTTGGAGAAATAACAGCATTATGCTTGCACTTTGTTACCAGCTTTTTTTTTATCTGTATAATCTTTCGTGAGCCTAACTAGGAACAAGGTAGAATTGTTTCTAGATCGAAAACTTCTTTAGTGCTTAATAGGAGTACAGCTGGCATGCACACAGCCATTTGACATGGAACATTACAATGAATTTTGTTTTCTTTAAGGTCGAATTTGGAGTATCGCGTATCCATATGGTTTTGGTGTTTCCCATTTCACTAGTCTTCAGTATTTATTCATAGCGTATATATTGCTTACGGATGAAGATGTGTATATCTATGTTTGGGTGTCATATCACAAAACAAAAATTATGAACTTACATTTGATTTTCTTACAGATGCCTGTTGTAAGCTGGAAGATTCAGAGAATTCAGGATACGTTGGAAACAAATTTCTCTTAATTATCCCTGTGTATCTTGACACGGGGTATGGCATTTATAATAAATGTTCTTGCAACAAAACACCGTTTTTAGTTTAGATCAAATATGTTACGTCTAATATAAGACTTACCATTTTGTTGGTGCTTCATGCGCCTTGCTTAACCGAAACTATATCAATTTCGTCTTTTTTTCTTGCTTTTTTTTGCAGGTAGTTGTGTGTCTCATCGATTTGCATGTTCTTGTTGCATCCCTATAAATAGTCTGACATATGTACCGAAACGATTGCCCCTTTCGTTTACCCTAAATCTATTTTGAGAATTAATGCAAATATGCACGATTATTTATTATTATATTTCATTATTATTAAGCAATGCAGTTTTGCTCGTACAAGCTTTTGCGATGTAGATCTTCTACTGTTACGTGCTGAATCTAAAAAAACATTCATATTTTTTTTATATAGATATGATCGTTCCGAGCCCCTTAGGTGCAGGTTTTATGAACGCGCTTCAGCCGTATCTCGGTGGCAATCAATGGTGCAAGGTAAGACATTTTTCCATTTACTATACGGCACTGACCACTAAGTGGAACAGCTTGTAATATAGGTCAGACTTATGTTTTGGTGATAACTAAATGACCATAAGCATGTTAAAGTATAGTATTCTTACATTGAAATATCAGCGTGATATCGTTTTTTGAACGAAAATTAAGTAGACAGCTGCCGGCATGATTGGCAAGGTCAGGTATTGATGAAGAACAACGCATTAACTGCATATAAACTACGCTAGCTATACTGCTCATGTAATTGCGTTATGTCGTGTAAATTGTTTGTATTTATTTGGATGCGGTTCCCAGAAGAACTTTCCCTTCTTTGTAAACAGGAGATAGCTATCTTGTTGAATGCAGCAATGTCGTACTTAAACTCCAACCTTTTTTTCTTCGTATTTAAAGGTTAATGGATGGAATAATATTGACGAAAAACTAATTTGTTACGTTAACATCGAGGGTCGGATGAAGAAAATGATTAAGTGTGCAGAATGTGATTATACGACGAATGCACCCAGCCACTACTTTCGCCATGAGATAAAACACTCTAAAATCAAGCCATACAAGTAAGCTATACACTAAGTAATACAATTTCGTTTATATGTTGTAATTGTAAATATGCATCATAACAACGCAGTGGACAATGCTGAGTGCTCGTGTCTCAACCCATGTAAAGTACTATGCAGATAACTTATTCTTAGTTTTTTTGTTTGTGATAATAATAATAATCATTGTTATTAGAGTGGAAGAGTTAACAGAATAAACTATACAAACAATAATAATCGTCTTTGGACATAGTCTTGTCAGAGTAATCTTTAATCAGCTATATATTATATGTAACAGGTTCTATGGTGATATTGCAATACTTTTCACATACCTTGATATGTACTACGAATTTGTTAGACAACTAACCGCTTAAACGATATTTTACAGATGCCCAATCTGTCCGTTGACTTTCCAAAGAAGATATAAGATCAAATACCACGTCATCAAGGAACATCCCGGCGAGGATATTGAGAATCTCTATTACTAAGTAGAATGTAAACGTTATATTTAACTTATCGCTATTGCTTTTGTGGGTGATCTCGATATGATCTAAGCACAGAGATCCGTGTTTGAAGGAATACATTATTACAAGCACGGCACGTAAGTTCATCACGGTTAAACATTTTTGAATAGCGTTATCATACTTACGGAGCTGTGAAGAGCACAATGTCACAAGAACGGCTAGTTGAACGTTGTTATGCACACGAAACCCCCTATGTACAACGAATGGTTTCCCCAGGCGAGACGTGGGCCATTGTTCTGTTAAATCCTGTATTCACATTTGGGTGTTGCTTAGAAGTGTTTTGTATTCAATATGTCGTCAATGGAAGACAATCACGAACTCGAACATCGGTGTTAAAATATCGTGTTTTGCTTAATAACTTGCTGAAATCTTTGTACATTCGGCATAACAGATTTGGTTCAATTTAACCAGCCTCTATACAAACAATACCTCGAGATTCTAGCTTTACTTAAAGCCATATATTGCGCCCGACTTCCTACTTTTTTTTGCTTTCGGGTTCGGACTTTTAAGTGTACAATATTTCTGTGCCGGTGTATAGAGAGGCCTATGCTATATAAATGCACGGGACCAATCTTAAGATATCTAGACTTATTTTGACCCTTTAGACGTTATTTTATCACATATGTTTTTTTCACGTCTGCATCAGTATAAACGTCACTCCTTCGCATCACTGTAATGTTTTCCATGTATCTGAGTAGTATTCTTTAAGTGTGTTTCCCCACAAGAACGCCAAACAGAGCCACGTTGTTAGATGTATCAATGAAGACGTCGTGTGCAAGCTTACCTTCTACCCCTTACTGTGTATTAATGTCCTGTATGTTGGGCTAAAAACGCTTTTCATAGAACTAATTGATTTAAATAATTTTGACTTATTTGAAGGATTTATTTAAGCTAGATTTCATATTCTAGAGGCACAGCTTTTTTAAGTAGTAGACATTGAACAAACTGTTCTTTTTTTTACCGTCATCAGTGACAACTCTGCCTCACGCTTCTGGCAATACCGAAAATAAGTACGATTCATTTAATACTTAACTAGCCAGAATCTTTGAGAGCAGTCTGTAGGTCAGACGATGAAGTAGCTGTTTTCGCGTTCGTATATGACATGTGATGAAGAAAAAACTATACGTGTTGCCTTGAGAAGTTAGCTTTCACACTCCTCAACTACTCGTTACTGTGGATTGAATTGATTAAATAATAATAATAATATTAATAATTGTTAGTCAATTCAATTCCTGCGCAACGTTATTTCTTTCTGTTCCTTCGCAAACTATTAATACACACAAATAAGCATGCCAAAATTTGTGTACAGACTTGATAGAAATGGTAAGAAGGCCTGGAGCGCGTATGTAAGCTACCAGACCGATTCTTTATCTGAGAATTCTATCATAGATAATGGGGCACGCCATTACAAAGAAAAATTATTGTTAATACAAGTTAAGAGCTTAAATCTGCTTTGCAACGGTGTGATGTGTTTTTGTATAAACCTCGTCCCATCGCATGGGTTGAAGTTGCTTAAAATGTATACAACGTAATTATAGTGCATGTTGGCCATTCGCGCATGGCTATAACGATCCTACGAAATAATCACAGATGTGCATCAGTGTGAATTTTTCACAAGTCTGTACATAAAAGCGGTGATCGTGTTTGTCAACATCGAATAACCTGATACAAAAGATTATATCGGTGTACATTGAATGTTTTTCCTTGCTACTGTTACCACTTGATTTTGTGTTGAGTTCCACCTGATGCATCACTTATTGAAAACTTAAATTTGTTACATACATCGTATTACCAAAAACATAGTTCCGTTGTAAAATCCTTTTGGTAGGGGGTAACAAGCGGTATGCACGCTCTAGGCTTTGTGGGCTTTACGGCTAGTGAGGCTGGTGTCTTGCCGTTGTGTCCACTAAAAATCTCCTCATCCTGATAAAAAAACGACAACACTAAAGATCATTCCATTCAGACTAAATCATCGTTCAACCCGAATGGCTTGACCTCTCATTAAGCATTCGAATAGGGTAACTTACGACAGATGATCTCTCCTCTTCTATGTTGATAATCGTTTTATCTCCGTATCATCTTCCTGGTAGTAAGCTAGGGTATGTAGAAGTTTTCCAGGGTTCTATCGCGTTAAGGTTAGTATTTGTTGTATGTCCGCAGCGTTATATGGACGTCACATATATAGGTTCAGTAACCGCATATCTACGTTGTTTTTTTGAGTTCGACTGTTTGGCCGACATTTGCTCTCTATAGTTCTTATACGCTGGGCATTCCATTTGGTTAGCCGAAAACTCCTTTTGGATAAAGCTCCAGTAGCTTTGTTGTCGCTGCAATTGTCTACATATATATATATATATATATGTGTATATATATATATATATATATATATATATATATATATATATATATATATACATACATATATTGTTGTCTGAATCTGTATTAAACAACGGAATGAATGTTACAGAATATCATATATCAAACATTGGTTAACTTCTCTTAGGATTGCGTTAACCTTGGAACACTCTACATACCGTTTGTTTCTGCTTGGTCATTTAAAATATGCCCGCCGATGCAGTTCTACCCTTGCAGTTACATGCACTCGATATTGGGGTAATTAGCATACTTCGGAGTATTCCATCAAGTACTTTTGTATGGCACGGGACTCTAGCCAATGAACTCGGCTAAACGGTCGGATTTAGAGATGCAGTTTCTGAGCCATTTCAGGACTAGGAAGCCTCTGCTGTGGCAGCACGCTAACCATTTTTTCACTTATTTTGTACCCAAATGCTGTTTTTTTCGTTATTTTGTCGGTCGAACCGTGGCGTTGCAACCCCCTACCGAAGATTACATTGATCTAAAAGTAATAATTGAGTGAGATGTTATTGTATCAGAACAGTGATGACAAGCTGAACACAACATGAGCTCGTCGTCCTCTTTACCAAGATACTCGTGATCGAATATACACAATATCGTCGTTTACCGAAAGCTTTATATAGCTGCGGATTTCCTAAGCACCTTGGATTCGCCTGTAATATATGCCATATATGCCGCTGAAAGCTATCGGTGAACAAATACATGTGCTATTCGCTCTGGAAGGATAACAGTTTGTACATGTAAATAGTGCCTTATAGTAGATCCAATATTTCCTCGGCTAAAATTCTACAACACGAATGATTTGCGTGGATGTTTTAGGCATTTATCTACCTGCTTAAGGGAAACCATTAAATGTTCACACACTTTATTGGGACGGAAAGTGTCTCTTTCTAATTATTGGTATGAAACCCTGAAAGCCTTCTGACGCGCCGAGGTTTACCTACTTTTGGGCAGCTTGATTACCGGGTTGCTAATCAGGCACAACGGACGACAACTTAAGGACTGTGTAAACTTAAGAATAGTACATACAGCGATGATGATGATGATGATGACGATGATGACGAGAGGATGTATTTTCGATTTTCCGCACACGTTTCTCTAGTTGACTGACACCCGCAACCGATATCGACAAAATATTGTATCGAATTAAATAGAGTATTGGTATTCACCTAAATGATACGTGCACAGATAGAGTTGTGATTATAATGAAGTAAATAAAGTGAAACAACTTATGAATTATATCAAATACTTATATCTAAATAGGTAATGGTGAAATGAAGCTTGAAAAGTGCATATCTATTAGAAAGCAACATGATAAATATACTGAGATAAACACGATCAGAATCAGAATAATAGACAACTTAAAAGGTACACGAAGCGGTCAATAATGCTTATCGTGCAATAACTTACAAAGAGAAATGAAGGCCCTGTATTGACAACGCAATAATACGACTGTTGAGGTAGAACAAGATCACTTTACTAACATTACCCCACTACACTAAAAAATCAGTGGTTAGATGGATCAAGCCCCGCTAACGACAGATGCATAACAACTAAAATATAAGGTACATTGGTGTAGATCACGGTACTACTTAGGGTAATACTATCACCCCATATCGTCATCAGCAAATATCATTTTCTACACCGGCGCCGTTATCGCAGAGGAATGTCAATGCAGGCAATTAAAATACTAGAATTTTCCTGTAATCTGCTAAAAGGGATGACCTAACGTCTAAAAGGAGATGTGTATTTTTCTTAGTAATTTTGCCAGCGCGTGTTTCACCGTAGAATTTCGTACTCTCATCTTTGAATCCGGCGCAATTGTTGCACTTTAAGAATGTTTGTCAATTTGGTATATATGTATGGTACGGTATCTAAATTGAGACAATATCTCTAAATTTGTTTTTGAATAAATACAGATATTTAGACGAAAGTTTTTACATGCGCTACAAGTATCATTTCCAACAATCTGGTTTACCCAATATAACGATTCCCCGTGATGACAGCTCCGATTTGAGTCGTAAACCGTTCAGGGGCTGGTTTTAAACGTTTCCTCCATAATTGTATAAACGCCTTCTTGGTAACACGACTGTGCGAGTCGACGTTTTAATGTTGAGACGTTGGACTTTCGTTTATTTGCGTCACGTTTCTAACTAACGGGTTCAAATCTGAGCTGGTCGGCAGCCATATTTTCGAGCAATCAGTTTAATCGATTTGTGCAAACAGGTGTACCGTGTTGGAAAACGTACCGTACTTTAGCTATCTACGATTCTACGGTTTGTTGAATATAATAATAAATATTTGGCGACATGGCGTCTCCACATGAATATGGGACCCTAAGAACATTAACCTTGGCTGAAAGTCATAGGCTAACCTTTCTGCGGTTTATTTTTGCATCAAGAATAAGAAAGTTACATAGAAAGTAAAATAAAATCCTGTCAGAGAAATATTACAGACGACCTACTGCTGCATTCTTAAATGTAACTTAAGAAACAAACAGCACCAGTCGACGCTAGTACTCTGACTGAAAGAGAAAGATTATAAAAAATGCACGGAGTCAAGAATTATTATTATTATTCTTCTGTTGTCGAGTTTCCGCTGTGCTGTGCTAGAACCGTTTTCTAGTTCTATAGCCTTAGATTCACTGGAAACACAATACACTATCGATTTCGGGTGATTCAAAAAGGGTCCCACAGCACGTAGAGATTGGATTAGAGCTTATCTCTGCTTAATGGTGACGACTCAATGACGAGCAGCCCGACAAAGCATGTCCCAATATAGGTGCCGTATTCTGTATACGCTTCTACCAGTCACGCTGCATCCACGCAGTATTTGCGCATTCTTCATGCATATGCACCCTTTGAAATGACTAATGGTATCGCGTACTGCAACGCCTCCCAGCTGGATATTTCGGTATTTCTTCAGTAGTCCTGGTGTCGACATACCTTGTCCATCGTCGTACTAAGTGCCCCCCGCCTTCCCTTCGTAAAGTATGTATCTGGCGACTTCGTACGGTATGCGTTCGTTATCGAAATTTGTTTCCCAACGTATCATATTGTCTGCATGTCCACTTCATAATCAGCTGGCAGTCGAATACTTTTGAAAGAATAAGCTGTTTGTAGGAGACTAACAATATATCAGCGAGGGGGCTCTTACATCCTAACCGCGTCCAAAGGAGCAACCGTTTATATATATATATACATATATATAAACGATTGCTGAATCTATATAGGTTACACAAAAAGGAAATTATACAGATTACTAAGTTTTTAGTAGTGGTATTACTAGATTAATGCTCAGTGGGCTTCGTGAGAATATTTGTTTGTTCAATAATAAAAAAAAGATTCTTTCAATATCGAATGATTACGAAACTCTGTTAGATTAAAATCTGAACTATTCGCAACACCCTGATATTTTCCTATATTTTAATATCGGTGATCTTTTCTAACTTCATACCTATATCTCCACGTTTTGGTCGCAGAGTGCTTACGATGTGTATGTAAACATCGCATTCACAGATATTTATTCATACACTTACCCATATATAATCACACGCCAGTCGTTACAAATGCAATGTTTTTAATGCAAACAAAAACACATACTTCCGGTTACCTTACATAGTAATCGTTTTTTGTGGTATGGCACAGAGCCACTCCTGAAACCATAGTGTTTACAATTATACAGAATAGAAGCACTTAACTCTTTCTACTTAGTTTATCTCAGCAACGTGAACTCTATAGAGTAAGTTAATGACACATTAAGAATCGAAACACTCCGTTTGAAGCGATCTTTTCGACTCTGTCAACACAAATAACACCAATATTCGTAAGCTGACGTTTTCTACGCGAATTTTCTAAAGCACGTAGCTTACAGTAGATTTTAGATGAAGCATGACAATCCATATATCGGCAATGCTTGCGGCCATAATGTGGCAACAGATAGCTTTTTGCATACCATTATTAAAGCATTAGTAAAAAAAAAGTTCAGTATTCGACTTAAGAACTCATATAGACTTGTTCCACATAATAGTTTTATAAAGAAACTAATATAAAACATATATTAGGATTTTGCCAGTTTACAATGCTGTATTTACGCATGTCCAATATCATAATCTTTTTTAAGAAAAGTAGCTTTTTTTTCATCAGCACAGAAGCAAATTAAGCTGATGACACTGTTTTAAAGGCTACATATATTTTATAAAGGCAACATATGCGGATGTATAAGCAAGGAATAATGCTCCGACCAATGGACCACCATAAGCTGAGCCAGTAACAGGACTTGATGTATCGTGTGGTGCGTTACGATACTCTGAAAGCAAATATAACAATTGATTACTAAAATATGTAGTTTGCCGTATTCCACTGAAATGTAGAAGCATTATTGTCTCAAAACCAAACGTGTCAAAAATCGTCCCGAACACTGCCTCGCCATCTGGTTCTCCAGGGCAAAAAATCTATCTCATTACATTTGAATATCGTGTGTTTATCACGGTTACAGCGTTATACACACAGATCTTTACAAAATAATTGTAGCGTGAAGAATCATAGGCTTAAAAGCCATTCAATGTCCTAAATGTCAGTGTGATAAGTACGCGCTTTGCAGATAAGTAAGCTTGCGAACCTTGACCTGTGCGCCCAAGGCGACAGCTTGACGGCGTATGTCATATGTTACACATAATCAATTACTGAGATATATATTTAAATAAATAGGGGTCAAGCGGTTGGTATGAGTCACTGTGCGAGGTATAGACCGTTTGCCGCCTTTGCTTCAACATCTTTCAGTTCAATGAGTCCTCTTCCTTCTTGAAGCTATGTGTCCGCATCCGAACATTCGAAAGGTAACGGGGGTTTATTCACTTCATATCTATGCAACTACTACTTGCAAATGGTAAGACATCCAAAACTCTCAAGAGTGCAGAATAGTTCTGCAGAACTGAATTAGGTAACCCAGTAGATTATTGTTAATGACCTTAATGGTAAACACGTAATTACATAGATATGTACAATGATATACGATATATACGAAATAGATACTGCGCAACTCTGCGACGCGTCAAATACACATTATGTACAGTTCTAAATTATTAATGAGCCTTTTCCGTCCCATGCAAAAAGACTTTTGAGCATAAAGCTAGCTCATGGTGCTTCTTTACCAGTTCGCGGAATTTCTCTAAAGACTGGAGGGTTATATACTTCAGTGAATATTATTGGCATGAGACGTATCACCTTGATAAAAACATTTTCTAAGCGAAGCCAGTACCACTAGTGATGTATCAATCCATGTAAAGCGTAGTTTAAATTAGATAAAGGAATTGAGTAGCTTCTAGTGATGAATGAACAAAAGGTGAATGAAATCATTCTTACCGTCGATTGCTCGTTCCCAGACCTTAGATACTTTGGTATTGTCATAAGTAAGGAGCACTTTTTCAAAATTGATGCTCTGTGCGGTGCGGAACGGGGGGCTGTAACATAAACACAATTAATCAAAAAGATGATTTCGAACGGTACATTTCTAATATACGCAATTTATAAAAACTGAATAGTTAGCTATCGATCAGGTTATTATAAAGTGATCGACGCAATCTCACAATGTTACGGACTGACAAATTTGATGTCTTAATCTACTGGGACTACATCCATGTTTGATTTTCCCGCGGCACTCCTCTATAATCGTCACCGACGAGCTCTTGTTCATTTTTCACAATACAGCAGTCACACGTTATGTATGCAGGCTCTCTGGCGTACTTACTCATATCACGCATAAATCGGTATAACTACTAGCGTACGTGCTTGAGAACGTATCCAATTGTTTACTACTACATATACATATAAAGGAGGAAACAAAAACCGCCAGAAAGTCGAGAACTGTCGATGTTCCCATCAATAGGGAGTTGCCAAACAGAAGCTAATAGAAATATAGAATGATGGGTTTACATATCGTGCGCGAGATAGAAAATAGCCTTCTATATTTATATAAATCATGTCCGTCTCTATATTATTAAAAATCTAATGATTAATAAGAAAAAGTGTGAGCGTTCATATACGACGCACACACTGCCATTGTGATTTTCAATTTTATTTAACCATTAACTATTATTGTCTCTTTTACCAATGTATTGTTACACCTGTATGAAAAAAATTACAAACCAAATATAGAGTACTATCACCTTGTCTACCGGTGTGTTTCAGTTGGCTGATAAAATAAAACTTAGTGCCTCATAAAAACGCTTTTCTTTCCTTATATGAACTTTTCGATCATGCACAACATAATTTCATTGCGCACTTGTCTATTTGCAGATAACCGTTGGAAATAGCGATGCGCACACGTAGTCGCAGGCCATACTACTATACGTATATTTATTTAAAAAGTCTCATCGATAGAGTGTATCACTTAGGAGACTGACTAAGCTCCAATCCACCTTGCGAAATCTTTTTTCGAAATTGTTCTGTGTGAAGATCGAACATCCTTTAGGTTTCCCCTAGCTACTTTCTCTGGTTTCCGGTAAAACTGTGCTATTCCTTTGTTATATACAGTTTCTTTGCTTGATATAAATAAATATATCCCATCTAAAATTACATACTGAAAATATACAAATAATTTAAAGATCTACTGTCCTCTGGATTTGAAATGTGCACATGAGAAGTTTAAAGGTGCAGCCGAATATGGTATGCAGGTATTATTAGAAAAAAAGTACTGTTAGAAATGTGATCTCGACTACAGATTGACACTGTAATGCTCTTCACTCCCGCACTAATCAGATCGAAATAGAGTTTATATGGATGTTTTGTAGTAAAAACTAGGGGTGTTCATTTTGTGCAAGGTTCTGGTTTCATTTAACTTCTGTAGTTCTTCCGGCGTGGAAGCCATGTTCTTATAATATGCAGGTCTATCATTGACGGTATACAAAGAAAATGTTTGAAACGATAACTTTGGAAATGTTGGTTGGGGCACAACCAGGTTAAACTGCTTTTATATTCTTGTTTTTTTTGAGAAGCAAAGTGCTCGAACGCCTTCACAACTATATAAAGCGGACCTTGAAAAATGTTGGGAATTCAGAGTCAATCATCTTCGTAGTAAACATGCCATGATCCCACAAGTCGTAAATAATAACTGTGCTTGGAGGCGTGCGGATGGGCTTATGATGGTAGCACACCTATCTTTCTTCCATCTGAATAGTATATAATATATTCTACACAATGCTTATGTTATGTGCTACGCAATTCTGTTTGCGTAAATAAAGGTGTCTTCAATTCGATTTAAATATTAGGCGTTAGGTACTACCTGGTGAAATGTGACGGCAATGGTTCCGCATCGACGTACAATACATCCATACTTCGTCTATGTCGCAATCCGTGCCGACTTGCCGCATTAAATTTTTTCACATTCTTTGGAAAATACTCCAGCGGAATTTTGATTGTAGCCTTCCAATATGGTGGAAAGTAGGACACTTTTGAATCATATGCCATGCGTAGGTCGTCCTAAAGCAGACAAGGAAAGATTACAATATCGAATTAGCCTTATCGAGATCGAAACATATCTTTAAAATCAATTATCCATTGGCTCACTCTAGGCCACCACAGTTTTACTTTAGCACAGCTTGTCACTTGTAATTGAAAATAAAATAAGATGAGACACAAGAAGATTGTTGACACTTGTTAATTGCCAAAGAAAAATAAGGCGAAATGAAGCCTGATTCCGGTCGTGTTTAACATATACCCGAAAAAATAATATTATTATAATTTATTATAATGAAATTAGCGGCTAGTAATTGCACCCATACAAAGAACGTGTAGATCGGATTCAAGCAGAAAAAATACTCAACACATTAATGCGGTGGGGATGATGGAAAAAACTCGTAATCCTAAATACCCCTTTCTTCCTTGCTACTGTTACTCAAGCAAGGGAGCTATTTGCCAGTTGCATCTTGCTTTAACACCGTCTTAATGACACATCTTTACTTATACGATTAAAAACGGGAGTTTGAATTTAAGCGAAAATTAGGTTAGAAAAGAGTTAGCTTTTTGACTGAATAGAAATTTCATTGTTTTTATTCCTGTGATAGTAAGTTATTATGCTATATATCTCCCATAATCGTTCAGGGCTGTCTCTGAACACCAAATGGTACCGTTTTGCCAAAAACTGACAGGTTATGTACGCAGTCAAGCAGCTTTCCAACCACGTTTTGCGTTATTGATTTGTGCCGAGGGTCAGATTATCATTGAGCACGATACCTTGTTCTCGTTTCTCAGATCTTTCCTCTTAAATAGCCTAATTAACATACAGATTAACTGTCTAATTTGTAGAAAGCAATTTCCACTAAATCAGGTTTTCGCAATTCTGTCAAATAGAACGCATAATTTTTTTAAGCGAAGATTTCATTGAATCTTGGGCCTTGGCTTGTTTCGTGGAGTCATCTATTTTGATTTCAGATTTATGTTGACGCACGGACACCACTTTTCATTGTCAGCGACAATTCTGCGCAAGAGTCGGTCATTGTGGCCCTCTGGCGCTCGATACTGGACGAGATGTTAATATGCAGCATTAAGCCGTAACTCGGTAGCGGATTCACAGAGTTCATAAGGTACCCAAACTCCAAATTTCTGTGTAACCGCAAGGGGCTTGAAATGGCTAACGACGGTCGAGTGGCTGCTGCCTACCTTCTCAACAAATTTTCGAGTTGTTTGTATCCCCCTTTCTTCGAAAGTGTCTTTAGATGGTCGTCACCAAATTCAGATGGTTGGTTAGAGTGGGGGGCATATTCTAGGTCTCAGATCTCGATTTCAAATTAAGCAAACCACTGCTCAATCTTTTTAGCGACAGCATCCCCACCATACAGAAGGCAAATGTCCTGGATTCTTTCAGCAGCGTTTTAATCTCGCGAAAATGCACGCTATATCAGATGTGAACGACAAATAAGAAATAGTGGAAAGAAAGGTTTTTCGCGGGAATTTTCTTTTCAGTTAAATATTTGCAAGTTGTTCTTTGGACAAGTTATTTCTCTTTAAAAGGGTGTCATTCGTCCTATCAAACTTAAATATATGAAACATGCGTAATTTGCAAACGCTTTATTTATAATCAGAACTTCGGCGTCAACTGCTTACCGTTCATTGGAACTCTCTCCTTGGAGCGGATGTAAAGTACATGTAAAAGTATGTTACCTATTTTCTACTAATTACTCTTAACTTTTCTAGGTGATGAAAACCGTACATACTGGCAGATATTTGTTGTGTACATCAATAATAGCTCATGACGACAAGTATAATCCAACTTACTTTCATGCTGAGTTGTTCATTGTACATTAGGAATATGATGTAATGACCAGCCCTAGAAACAAGAAATTATCATTATAAGCAAGTTAGAAGGAGTATGTGTTTGACAAAGTTTTTCTTAGTTTATTTGCCTTAAGAGGACTAGACTTAAGACTGGCCTTAAGAGGGTAAGGCTATATTTATTCCGGAAATAGTATCTGGACCTCGAGCCTACCGTATACACAGCATGTGTCGCTAAGATAAAACCACATAATTCTATAACTTTAGTTAGCTTAAAGTGCTAGTTAACTTCTGTGCATGTAGTGGTGGCTTAACAGACTCTGAACAGCAAACAATCATTACTTTTAAGAAACGTACACTACTTACGGTCCGACTACAATGTGGAGACACTGGTCACCATCACCAATGAACTGCATCTCAAACGCTGAAAGAACAACCTTCAAGCTTCAGAGCTACTATAACCAAAAGCTTTCTTATATAGACCATACAGGGATCTTAAGTTTAGTCATGGGAACTATATGTCTTTAATTAAATTGACTGTTAATCATATGGATTGTATTTCAAAAGGGTTCGTCACAATATTGAAGGGCTACCATACCAACGTATCGATAAAAAAAATTGACATAATAGGTCATCTTATGTACGCCGCCACACCTATAAAGTTGGTGTCAAACCTCAACAAGGCGGATCTACAGTTATCCACTTAGCAAAGAAAATATGGACAGACTATTAAGAGGATAAAAAAATCGTGTTAACTTACGTTATCTTTAATTTTGTCTTCTATTCCGTTTCATTGTAAAGATATATAATAGCTATTATGCTTTTTTGATAGAATAGATGGTAAAACACATAAAATGAGGTAGACTAGTACGAGTTTAGTTATGTTGTGGTTGTAGTTTTTGGAAAATATTAGAAGAATGCGTAGGGTCAAATCCAGGTAGACGCCTATTTAATTTTTTGAGTACCTTCGTAGTTCAAAAGCCCTAGAAATCCTCCCATAGGGGTGCTTCTTGGTGTCTCTTGTTCATTGTAGAAAGGAGCCTCTAAATAAATCGGAACTTCTCCATTGTTTTCCTGATGAATCGTGAAATTATACGCTGGTCCATTTCGCGGCGTTCCATACCATGTTTTTTCAATACTAAAATATAATCTGATCAAAGTATAAACATCAGTCGCAAAAGCAGTGATTTCTTTTTTTATTAATGATGAAACTTTTTCGCATAGTTTTTGTTTAGAAGTGAATTAACATGGACCCAAAATTAGCCATGTGTAGCAAGATAAGCCTGGTAAGTGTAACCGTCGATCTTTAGCTCCGCGTGCGTTGACTTGTAAGCTGGCGCTTCCAAGTAGCGCGGGACAGCTTTATACAAGAAGAAAACAATCTCGCAGAGAATTTTACCCAAAAGAGAACTTATTATTTCCTTTTAAGTTGAATTACGATCCGAAAAAAGCTAAGGTGAAGCCTGCTTTATTACTTAATTTCTTGCCAAATTTAGTATTAAAATTAGCACGTAAGTAAAAAGATGCATCTACTCCGGTTGGGCGTTGAAAATAAAAAACCCTTAATAAATGACAACGAATTTCAAGCGTATTTCATTGATAAAATGTAATAAAAATATCTAGTTTATCAAATTAACAACAAATGCAAAAGTTTTTTTTATGGAACAAGTTGCAAGTTTTTAACGGTAACATTGAAACGGTAACATTGTTCAGTTATAACATTCAAAAGGCTTATTTAGAATTTAAAGTGCTATTACCTGAGAAGGTTTATATCGCAAAAATTCTTACGTTCATATAAAGGCATTTCAACATATAAACTATTCGGTCATTCCCCTAACAATACTTCCCTTTTCTGAGTTCTAAGTTGAGCAATACTCAACAAACTAAACTTAGTAATATAACTTAAGTCAATTGGCATATGAGACAGTTTCAGTGTGTGCCAAGACGATATCCTACTGACACTGATACCGTTATTATATTATTGGGTTTCAGCACATTAATTTCCAAATGAGCCATTCTGAATTTAGTAAATATATGTGCCGTTTATGAAACAAGTGGAATGCGAGAAAATTTATATAAAGTTATATAAAGTTAAAGCAAGAACATAATAGAAATTTACGACATGTAGAAAGGGTGCTAAAAGCCTACTCAAAAATGAAAATAGGGAACGCGCTTGTCTAGCAGCAATGGCTTACCTATGACTACTAAATACTCTACTGTTATTTTAAACGGGTTCATCGCTCTAAATCTATAGGTTCGATGTTTTGCACTTCGATAGAGTTCAACTATTAGATGAAGTTCTATTCCATACTACAATACTTTTGACTCAGTTACCGAGTGGTCTATTGATTGTATGCAGGCCGGTTTTTGCTAGTAATCAATAAATTGCTGCTGATTTTATTTGGTGGAAAGTCAAAGCTACTTTTTTAACCATCGACCATTTTTCTTGCTTTTTGATGGTGTTCCATTGACGCACTACTTTACATTCACGAGCTGTTTCACTAAACAAACTAATTCGTCTCGTAAACTAGTTCGTTCGGCATGTACGTTTAACTATACCAGAGAAAATCTAATTTCTAACATAGCACTAATTGTCCTTTCAGTTGGCGGGGCCACTTAATAATGTAGAATATTTTTAGCGTTTAGTTTAATACTGATATCATGGAAAGCAAAATCATTTAGCGTATTTAGATACAGTAATAGTTCTTCTTATAATAGTAAGTTATCGATGAACAACGTCACATACATAATAGCTGTTTTTTCTATACATATGTTCGAATAGCTAACTTAGCACACAATCAAGCGGGCTTCCAGTACAAAACAATGTGTGTCTACGTCAGGATTCGACCCTAAGCTACCCCGTGTTCCTATGTTTAGGAACAGGCAACCACGATACGATTAGCAGAATCATTATAGGCCCCTTTTGGTAGTAACACTTCCATAAGCCATCACAGAAAATCACCATGGCAACCAAAACATCCGTGCTTCTGCACTGAACGCCCTGCTTGTCCCATTCATCATTCCTTATGCATACATTACTAGTACGGATTCCAGCTTGAAACCGATAGGGCATTTTTCGCAGGAAATAGTGTTAATTGTGTCTAATAAAAAATGTTTAGTGCATTTCGTCCTAACCCTGCCAGCAAATGCTTACATCAGCTCCAATTTCACTAAGCTGTGAAATTAATTAGATAACCTTGTCTACTATTAGAGTTATGTAAGCTAGAAGCCGTATTTCCAAATTTAATTGCAAAGCTTTTCCCCGTCATACGGTTTTTTTCTTTCTGTACGTCGTAGTAAATGGATATACTTAAAGATGTATGCATAAGAAATATACCTGCGTTATTTTATAGCCGTAATTTGTTATATATGGTAAGAAGCGAAATAATGGGTTGTTTGCCATCCATATATGGTCATGTTGCAGTAACAGAACTTATTCCTCTCGTAAATAGAGGGTCCTAACCATCTAATAAATCTCTGAGCGTAGTTTATACTTTGTTCTTTCCTCAATTTATATTATCAGAATGTTAGCGATAACGTTAACTTTCAATATGCGGAGACCTCGTTTGTTTGTCTTTTAAGAAAGCACAAAGGCGCAGATGAAGATCTGCGGTTAGTACTTGAAAATATCAAGGAATTCTGAGAAGTTTATAGGCAAACGGTGTCCGAGATATCAACATAGTAACAGTAACACTGTATTGATGTTTCACCAAATCAAAACGTGTATAAATTTGAACTAATTGCAACTGTCAGCCTATATCCTTGAAGCTTATGACACATTGAAGCAGACCCTTCGCTAAATACCTCATGGGTCATCTGTACATTGATCGCCCTACGTACTGTACGCCGTTTAATTTTTTTAAAACTGAGTTGGTAAAAAATCAAAACTCACACAGGTGCATTTTGTGAAGTGGAGCCCGTAGCAGCACGCACTATCCATTGCGTCATTCCACTAGTTAAAAACAGGACGGCCGCCCACCGAAGGTGACTAGGAACACAGCGAGCCACCATGTCTCTCAGTGAGCGTAAAGCAACTTATGTTGAGTCGAAATTTCCTTCACATCAGATTCGTTTCCTTGCAAACGGCGAAATGACGATATTTTCTCTATGTTGCTGCTACTGGTTCACGTACACTTCCATGGACAGATAATCCTGCTCGAAAACTTTTTAATAGCATTTTGACAAATTACCCGTTTGCCGAAGTGAAATGCTTCTTTAGATGATGATTATACACACATTATCGCGCATTTACTCCGTCGCTGAATTGTTCTGATATGTTTACGCGTGTATGTATATGTGTGCAGATGTGTGTACAAACTGTTCGGATGGTCCGTAGGGTCAGCACGGTGCACCAGTAACCCTCGTATGTCTCGTTTATCTTTAAATAATTTCTAACAAGAGGTAGGTAGGTAGGTAGGTACAAGGGCTTGGCATTTGTGCGCTAAAGTAACGCAACTAACGCACATTTGCCCATGCACTAACAGCAATAGCAAAACGACGGCGGCGATAGAAGCAGCAACCTCCCTCCCATATCGAGCTCCAACCATGGGGATCGACGCAGAGACTGCCTTTTTCCCTTCTTAGCGGATGGCGTCGCTGTCGCTGTCGCTGTCGCTGGCGCACTACAGACATGGGAGTGCTTTGTTTGACGCGCGATGGCGTCGCTTGACAGCTCACGCGGCCACTCACGCGGTTATCTGTCGGCTCATGCCTTCTGTCAAACGTTTTCTCTCCGCTGAATGTTACTCCGTTTACTGTGGTCGCTTAGGATTTCCGATGCCGTGCAGGCAGCTTGCATGCGGGAGAAATATAAACGTCGCCGTGATACTTCTGCTAATACTCCTGTATAGACATAGTCTTTGTCGCTCGTATCTTACTGGCACACGAGTAGCGATGTCACCTCTTTTTACCATTCATATAATAATATAAGCGATTTAAAAGTAATGAGATTAATTCGAATTTAAAAGCTTCGAAATGCGAACAAAGCATCGATGCAATTACTTCCTTACATGATCTCTTAAGAACTTATAGAAGGTCTGAATACTAACTATCAGAAAGTCCCTTAGTGCCTGTAGATTGCCTATCGTAAACTAACGTATGTTTGTGGCTAATGGAAACAACCAATGGCGGATTGTGAGAGGATTCCACCTGATCAATCAAGATATAATGATAAACATCTTCCAATACTCGATTGATTCTATTATATTTAACCTTTGAAGTTTTTTGGAAATGGGAAAAAAATTATTTTCTCGTCTCCTGTAGTGCTTCAAGAGGTAGGGAACTTGACTGACGAAAACAGCCTGTAATGATTATAATTAGCTAGCGTGCTCAATAAATTTGTAAATACACCTCTTGAATAGGCTCTATAAGATCGCGCCTCTGAATCACAGGCTTTTGCGGTTGCATCCAAAGATGTAATGTATGTTTGAATTCATAATACCGATTTTCTTCCGTGGGGGTTGAGTAATTTTTAGAAAAGAAAAATATTGGAAACGCTCACCATACATCAGTGTATCGAGTGTCCTAGATGGCTTGCACGGAGTATAAGAGATGTCCGCTGTTGAAAGATTCTAATCTTCACTACAGCTTTACATACAAAAGGGACGTCGATTTTGGGAACTGCAGAAGGAAGCATACTGTTCGAACTGACGTTAGGGATACTCGGAGATTTTTAGGAGATTCGTATAATATATGGCTGTTCATTATTTTGATTGCAGGTGTCATGCCGTTCTTGAAGTAGCGCGTAGACTTTCATTGCATTATACCTAAATTATAGGAGAGATACGTTATGTCAGTTGCTATGTATTTTGTATAAGGCAATTCATTTGTATGCTTAGTAAGAACGCCGTTGAGTAATAGACCAGTCGAGCAGATAGAGTATCCACAGTGAGAGATGAAAAACGTTCACCGTAATCGATAGGTGTGCATCCTAATACCTAGCTTAATGTTGGCTGAATGCTGGTGAGTAAAGTTTATTGCGTAGAAAAGTTTTTTCTTCGCTTAAAATAATCTTGAGTAATTTAATAATCAGTTGCTCTCGTGTCTTTCTAAGAAAGCAGGTAAAAAAAACTTATTGCATTTACCTGCAGCCCTCTTCACTCTTCCTACGTGTCGCAGTATGTGTCGTATGACTCTTTCAACACGTGTGCTAATAGCCTCTAAATACATTGTCACGATGTATGTCAACAGAAGGAAGTAACGCTGTTAACAGCGGAAGTCCGTAAAACTGACACTTATGGAGTGAATAGGTGTTGCAGCGAAAACTGGCAATACGAAAATCATCAAACACGTCAGTTATCCCTATGAAGTGTATGAAGCTCTACCATTGCTACATATATGTCATGGGTCGTCACGCGCGATGCCATTGCGAGAACAACGATAGCACTAATAACAATAGAGATTCATGACGTAAATAGATCTGTCACAAAAGGAAGCACGTATAAATTTTGTTACCGCTGTTCCCTAGCTAACTGAACATTGTAACCCAACTAGCCGTAAGTTCAAAAGGTGTGTACACATCCACGCAGATCAACGCGGCTATGTAGATTAACCCAGTAGCGTTAAGAATTGAACAACCAGATATTTCTCTGGTAATTATACGTATATAAGCTACATGTATTTATTTGTCAGAGGTGTTAATTTTCTATAAATAGGTAAGTAGGTAACGCATTTCTCTATCATAGCAGCTTCAGTTAGCTTTATATACAATATTGCTAGCTGGGAAGAAGACAGTAGGTAATTAATTAATACGACAACGTTTTTGATTGAACCACCCATTTAGTCACATTTTTCACTCTTCCTCGAATGGATTACAATTCAGCTGTCTAAGCGGACGGAGTATCGATGGTCCTTGATTCCGCTTGCGGTATTCTAATACAGTCGAATCCGCATGGCCGCTACTTCGAATCATCTTCCCTCACGTGGAGCGAGTATAAGTAGGGCTGGCCAGATGTAGTAGAAGGTAAATTACGAGGTAACTGAACGCCTTAACCGGAACAGCAAAGCAGAATCTGAATCGCCGACGAGAGAAGAACCAAGTCAACTCGTGGCCGCCGCATTTGGTGATGCAGAAACGTTGGGACGGTTGTCATGACAACCTAAAGACAAAGCCGCAGAACAATCTAAATGAACGTCTGTTGAATAGGCGATGATAAGAATATATTTTTAATAGGCAATTGGTTGACGTCCAGTGACATTCCATAATAAAAGACGAACGATTCGTTTTGTTTAGTTACCATTTTGTTACCGAAATCGCTAAATAAAATGCCGAGCAAACGGTTAAAATAATAATAAGCTTTCATTCGGCACCTGCAGCTTAGGTATACCTAGTAGATCTTTTGATAAAGATACGTCTGGGTAAATATCTTGGCTGTAGGAAGGTTTGTGATGGTAACATAAGCATTGATATAATGTCTTATCTCTTATATGCAGGGTAATACGTTTTCTAAACCTGAATTTATATACTTATAAGAAGAGCCTGCCAGCCTAGACACTCTTTTGCATTACGTTGAATATTTTTGACGACAGTTGGTATTTTCAATAACATCGGAAAAAAGGAACCAGTGCTACTAATTCATTGTTAAAAAGATATTGTTTTTCATTTGACCAAGTTGATAGGTATTATTGGATACTTCAAAAATTATAGGAAACAAGTAAATTAAATCGACGTGAGCATTTCGAGACTATCTCTTAGCACCAAATGTGTATAAATGTTAATGTACCATGTAAATGGCTTTACTATAGGAAATCAAACCTTTTTACAGCCAAGATCAAAAGATCTACCAGGTACACCTAAGCTGCAGGTGCCGAATGAAAGCTTCAATAACTGATCATTTATCGATTTCAGAGACTTTATTCGCTTTTTCAGGGCATCTGATACAAACGTAAGTGATGTGTAAAAGCACCGGAAAAAAGACCCTTGAACTTCAATTCAAGTACCGCGTCTATCATACTCACTAATCAAATTGTAGCAAAAATATTTGTATTTTTTTATTATTACATATGTGATTGAAGCCCCAGTGGATAGCGTTTAGAGAAACATGAAACCTTAAGATTGAAGAGTAGCCATTACATATTGCTTTGTAATGCAATTAAAAAATCCCAAAATAATAACATGTTAAACCTATTTTAGTTAAATATTTCGATAATATACAATAGGAGTTTGCAATACAATGTAATTTCCCAGATACTACTATAATTATTTTCCATCAATCAAAAAATGTTTATCCAAAATGAAATTTCTGCACTGGCAGGTCCTCTTTTTGAGCTCCATTTGGCCTCGACGAAACAAATGTAATAGAAACAACCCCAGTATCCACAGGGGTACCTTGATTTGGGGTCCTGCTTTTACAGTATATTATTATTTATTATGAAAAGAATATAATAGTACTCAAAAGAAAATTGAGTTTACCGGGCTTACTCCCTTAATATCATTTATCATAAGTGAATACATAAGCCTGTATCATTTACTCGCAGACTAACTTGATCATGAAAATCTTTCGAACTAATTAAGAAGGTATTGATCACTAAAATTGAAGACGGCGCCGAATAAATAGTAACCGTAACGCTCGTATACAAAGGAACGCCACAAATGGAGAAGTGTAAGGAACTTGTTACAAACACTATTTTCGAATATAGAGCATTTGAAAAGTCACGTAACCCTAGAGCGCCAGATCTCTCCCCTCTCGCAGTGGTGGCAGCCTAATCTGATTAGGGAGTCCTTCTGTTAGCAGAAAACTAAAGAATGAAAGATTAGACAACTTATATAACGATTCTACTCTTCTAGCCCTACCATGTCTATTTTGAGCCCGATTCTTGTTTCAGGAATCAACGATCAGTCAAGCATCAACGGAAGCGGAGTTGATAGTCCAACTGACGTTGTCAGACGACCAACTTGGATGAATAAATGTGCTAATGTATATGGGTAAAGCAAGCTATGCCTTCGCGGTAAGGCGGCGCCGCAGCACACAGCAGTAAGACCCTCATTGTTAGGGATTTATTTGATATCGTTGTCTATCTTCGAGGATCATGAAGGCAAGATGAAGCTAAGAAGCGCCTCCTCCAAAATGTATCACATTGTTATTCGGAGCTACGGATTACCAATTGAATTAAAGTTAAGTTCGTATTAACCTAGAACAATTTACGAATTTTATTATTATTTATAGAACAATTTATTATTATTACTACTACAGAGAGTGTCAAATAATTTACTTGTCAGCTAATGTATACGCAGAAGAGTTCCAAATTGCTCGTAGATAACACAGTTTGACTTTTGAGTAAAAATGTCATTTTTGTTATTATTAGGTTAGAAAAGTAATTCGCTGTTTACTCTGAGGGTTTCGTTCTCCATATTATTTGCTATAATGTTGTTGGAAAATAACTCGGATTTTACATCAATGATATAATTAGATATGTTTTTGCTGTCTAAGATGTTCTTGAAATAATCTGCAATACCTATTTATTGCCGTCGCGCTCGTCCTATGAGCGCGCGGATTTGTTTAAAGCACAACCGAGATGCCTAAAAGGAACGACAGTAGCGCCTAGAGTGACAATTATGAGAACCCGAGGTGAGGACAGCCCTAAAGAATAGCAGTAGTATTTGCCCAATGTGACGACGATGTGGAAAGTGGCCTTCCATTGTACATATGCTACGAGAAGACTTCGTGGTCCACTCAAACTGAGTCCACTGTCTTTCTTGCATACAAATAGGCTTTCGCATGCGGTAGGGCTCAAATTCGATGTCTAACTCAGTACATTGTATTGTAATAATTATTGATAGGGCGGATTTATTTTAGAATGTCATATCCTCAAAATTGTTGAGCTCGCCTAATATTTTCGTTATTCGTTTCCATACGATGATATTAGACAGGGTAAAGTGCATATTTGTAGTAAGTAAAGGATCTCTGATGTATCATTTATGCGTTGTTCGAATATATTATGAACATAAACGTTTTGCTTTTCTGCCCTCTTCGGGTCAAGGAGTGCGCGAAATGTACACTCCCTCTGGTCTTAACTCATAGATAACTACAGAAAATTATAGAGCACAGCTTCGTCTTCATTCAGCATTTAAACAGCTTGCCAGTAACAATACAGACTGTTCTGACATGTTTAATGAGTCTGAAGGAAGTTATTCTTGCAAGATGTTTTGATCATACGGTATTCAAAAGTGTAACTTGTTAGAAACGGAACGAAGAGAGGAGTCTTAGACTGACACGCTGTTTAAGAACGTCGCTTGGCATAGAAGCTTCGTTCTTGTCCCGGTACCCATTGTTTCTTATTGTAAGTTCCATCAAAAAAGTTCACATATAGACGGAATTACGGAGGTATTTAACAATTCTTTGATGATACGCTTTTCTTTTAATCTCAAGTTTAATTTAATGCGAAAATCAAATAAAACGTTCTTTCTTATTTATTAAATTATTACTTATTTGACTACGAGATAGCTGTATGTAAAATGAAAGGTAGATTACTAGATGAAATAACTTACACGTATTTACATTTCGAAATATTCGCTTTTGAAAAGTTTTTTAGCTTATCTGTCATTTTGTTGGCTGTTCATGTGGCTGATTTAACTTAGGACTTTGTATTTTCGAAGTTGAAGCTGCCGACTATCTTTGTTGTTTCTTTTATACACCGGTGGTAGACAAAATCAACTGTATATATATTTATATATATATATATATATATATATATATATATATATATATAAAGCGCTCGATACTCCAATTGCATTATGAATAATTATTCTGGTTGTTTTCTTTTACTTGCCGAAACATCATCTACAAATCACCAGTCTCTGGGCAGTACACCAAAAAAGACGATGGGGTGAGGGAATTCCAACCAGTATTAGACTTGCGAAAATTTAAGATAGGATCGAGCATTGGCTATATGAAGGACATTACGGCAGGTAGAATTGTGTTGTTAGGTTACCATGCACCTGAGGTGGTCTAGGATTGAAATTGAGCCTAGACACGTTTCATCTCTACCAGGAAGAAGTCAACCATTTCCAGCGAAGTTTAATGTCAATATCGAACGTCACATTCGAGCCATTTAGTTAAGTATGCATATCGGCAACACCTCGACCATACCGCGCAGAGCTCTCACACAAGGTGCGCGCAGAAACACAGGAAGGCCAGTCAGTAAAGACCTTTCATAAATATACGCCCTTTAGTAACTGAATTGGGCTGTAATTCAAAAAAAAACAACCTTAGTACTTAATAAACAGTGTATATGGTAAGGGACTAAGATAGATCAGAAGTTGTGTCATACTGGGAGATCGCGGCATGTTTCAGAAGAAGCCGCAGTGATTTCTCTATCGCTTCTTATCGCTCTGCACGTCGAGGCTTCTATGTTTGCCAGCGACACGCTCTTCTAGTGCTGCTCTGTGCATTCTCGCTGGCGTGGCTTCGCTCCTCCAGTTATGTGCCATAGAGATTATGGATAGACGCTATAAGTTCGAAGTGTAGTTCTCGGCATAAGCAAAAGACTCGATTCGGGGCAGAGTGGCGTTCTATGGGCCCCACTCACCCTAACAACCCCTCTAATAAAGTAAAAATGTCGCGCTGACTTATCAGTTATATAGGGCCAGGCGGCTGGCAGTGGGTCGCGATTGGTCCGACGATTGCAGTGCGCTTATATAAGCCGTTTGCGTTTGGTGCGCTGTGAAGAACCGTGCACGACACTGACGAGCAGCCTGTTCTTTGACACATCGCTCAGGTGCGCGTCGAAAAAGGTACGTGTGTCTTTTATCGATGCGTGTTAATGCTGGAACGCATATCAATTGGCACCATGCAAACAAACTGTGCATGCTATCACTGACAACATTTGACAGGTTGAAATGCATCGGGATCTGTGAAAAAGAGACCCGGAGCGACCTAACGACGCAAGCTGGTTCCACCATCGACCATCAACGGAGCGAGGGCGCTGCATTGGTAGTAAATGATAGTAGTTATGGTGTGGGGGATATTGTCGTAGAGTAGTTCGAGTTATTATAATATAGTCGTTGTACATGAAGTGCTGTCGTTGTAAACATCGCGTACTAGCCACTGTTTATATTCAATAAACTGTGTTGAAAGGAAAGCATTTTTTATAGACTATACTGAGTAGTTCCCTGTTAAATGCACTATTGTTATACAGAGGCTAGTAGTGGTTTGTAAGTGGTTCATATGGAAATTATTAGCGCGACAAATGCCGATATAGTCAATACAAATTTTCGCAAAGTGTTTAGTTTCAGAAGTGCGCTGTTGCCGCACTGGCAAGAATTCAGCAGTTCGCGTTACCCAGCGGCGGCTCTAATTATCGGGGGTTTTGGGAGACGAATGCCGTTTAATATAGCTATACTAAATAAATCAATAGCTTAAAAATCGTAAAATTGTGCACATGTGTTCGTTGCGTATGCGGTTTAGCACAATTTCTTCAAATGTCATTTTATATTGAGGACGCATTAACCGTTAAGTATAGTACGACACTGAAAGCCATCACTTGTTTAATTATTGCTTTAGATTACTGTCGACTCACTAAAACTTTCGCACGATCGTAATAAACGCTGTTAATTAACCTTACATTTCAAACATAATTGTCAGAGGAAGCAGCTAACCAACAAAATAGTGCTAGATGCTACCTGATTGGATTCCGGTTAAAAGAGAAAACTGCTGGTACTGTTGAAAACCATGTGCAATGCAAACAATCTTTCTTGCAAATTGACGAACTGTTACCTGAAAATAATAGTTATTTCTTCGGTCGAGTTGTGTTTTTGCCCATGATCGAAACGTTCGAAGGATAACAGCTGTATTCCTACCATGGTTGGCTCCCTGAAGAATTCTATGATCAACTCACTCACACGGATGCGTAAAATGACTAGACAAATTACGGTGTACAGTATAATGATTTTTTTTTTCGATGTTTGTACTTCGCAAATATGGTAAATTGTATGATTTTGCTTCTTTTCCGTATCTAATATACTAAGTGAAAAGAATCGGGCATTTGATTTGAAATTGATAGTGCGAGTGAGTAGTACCTTTGAAAACTACACATTTTTCTCAACCGTTGCGCATACATTTTATTTACTATTTTTTTCTATTCTAAAATCATTTGTAGGTTAGCTGGCGACAAGTCTTATGTATGTATTACACGAACGGACGATTTCACATTACCTATAAGGATGCACAATGTTTGTGCTAATGATTTTCAGCAATCTAATACGGCTGCGCGATGGACTCCCCGTCTCATGTTGATATCGCTGACGTGGATCAGCCACTTCAGACACCCGCCCCACCGCTCATCGAGGACGACGATGTTCCCCGCCTACCCGAAAAGATGCCTCATCATGATCTGACAGAACATCAACACGAACATGATCCACTGGAAACACTTTCGGCGCATAACGGAGTAACCACAATTGGTTCATTGGGTTCCCTTCATATTCCAACATACGGAGACATTGCATCGACAAGCTCTGACCCGACGGGTGAAATAACAACAGCAGACTTTCGTGAAAGAATCTCCCTGCCGCCCGTATCTGAGAACGAACTTGGAAACGGTTCCCCATTAATTACGCCGTTACAAAGTAATATACAAGAAAAGAAAGAGTTTCATGTTGAGCGCACCGAAGAGTTCAAAGAATCGCCCGTTGAAATTGGCGAGGAAGTTCAAACGAATTTAAATGATAAACCAGAACCTAAACCTAAAATTGTGACCACTAGCGAATTTTCTCAAGGAATTAACGCGCGTCCAAACCTTGGTCATGTGTCTTCATGTGAGCTTCCGCTTTTTGAACAACATGAACAGCAAGGAGGACAGCCTCCAGTGCAGGATGACGTGCACCAACAACAACAACAACAACAGGAACAGGAAACTGGCCCTACGAGAATTATGGTCAGTAAGTATATAATAGATGAGTACGAAATTTCACCACCCGAAAAGAAGGGCGCCACATCCCCCCATTCAGAACATGAGCAGCCTCGATCATATGAATTGTCATTTGACGCAATGGAACCGAAAACCCCTGTGAGCAGCGAAGTCCAACTTCTATTGAAGGAGACAATAGACATAATTGAGAAACAGAGCCGACCTGTGGGCGTGACGAAAGGTAGAAGGCGCTCTACAGTACGTCAACCGAGTGAAGTTACGGAAATTGAAATCCCTGAAGCTGAACCTATAGATGAAATGCCGTCGTCACCGGAACCCCCACAAGAACCAGAAACCCTAGTGGATGACTTCGTAGAGCAATTTACCAACGAAGATAAGCGGATTTTGTTTTCCGAGGAGGCCGATGACAGCGTCCCAATTAAAGAAGTAATCATTAATGCGAAAATGGATGACGAAGTAAGTGAAGTGCTACAAACCTACATGAAGTCACAATTTGGAGAACTTCGAAAACGAACAGCAATGCATGTTATGGCGGGCGATGAGCGAATTGCATCATATCAGTCGGACATTCGGAAAATGTCCATACCACTGCTGAGATTGGCTCAGCAACTCGACGAGAATCCGGAGGATATTGAAGAACTTAGACGAACAGCTGGAAACATCCTCTGTCTTATGTTAATGCTCAATGAACGGATGCTCCATGACCGACGAAGGGCCATACTCAATTTTTTCGAGCGACCTGATGATATGGCCGATGAACATCGTCTGCCTCGTCGCATGGGAGAAGGACTTTTTGGCAAGCGTTTCTGCTGGTTTAATGGAATGGGCTTTACCAAGCGTCGTCCTCGCCGTAAACCGGCACCTCGAGTAGTCTACCAGCCGGCCCTCGCTCCACTTTCAAAACCTAAATCATCTACGGCAGCCTCAGCGGCAACAATAGCAAATAGCATCAAAATTGGCGGCGCACCTCAACAGCTGTTTAATGAAGAGTACGACGAAGAACTCGATGACGATGAGGAAGAAGCGATCTCTGATGAAGATTGGAAGGTCTCTGAAGAGGAAGAAGCTGATCCAGAGGAGGAGGAAGAGATAGACAGCGATCTAGATTCGGAAGAACACGCCGACATTACGGGTCGAAAGAAAGCAAAAGTCAGCAATGGAACTAGCACTACTAATGGTAAACATTAATATACGTACACATGATTATTGATGTAGATTTCATGGGTCTAAATTCACGTACCCGATTGCAGTATGGAACTTAGTGAGCATATCATACTTTATCATACTTCGTCAATTATTATTTCGTCTCAATTAGATGATCAGCAGAGGCAGCAATTCTGCTGGTACCTTTAGCTATTTACGAGTGCTACAACAAAAGAAAGTTGTTTTCACCTAAATAGTCTGTCCAAACCACAGCTTTTACCTTGAAGGATGTATTAAAATAAAACGTAAATATCCAGAGCACAACTGCTCAGCCTAGACCATGTGAAACGCGTACCCGTAAGCATTCCCCCTTGTGGAAAATATAACTACAGTAAAATTGCATTTTTTTAAATTTATATTTCAGGTGGTAAGCAATCAATTGATGAAATTTGGAGTGAATCAATGCGCCTAATGCAGTTAGCCGATGCCGCAGTTGAAGGGGTTAAGGCAAAGAAAAGGATGAGGAAGGAAAAAAAACTCAAAAAAGAAAAATTGAAGAAGGTCAAAAAGGAGCGTAAGAAACGTGTACCAAAAGAGACATGTGCGCCTCCAGCAAAACGGGGTCGAAAAAAAAAGATCAAGGATACCTTACCACCGCCTCCGCCCCCACCCCCGCAGCAACCATTACAGCCTTACCCAATTGGGCAGTTTGAAGACCCGAAACCCAAGAAGCGCCGTCGACGACGTAAGACCGACGACGATGGAGAGGAAGCAGCGGTCGTCGCATTTAAGCGACGAAAGAAAGATGGGCCTACAATTGAACGCAAAATCGATCCACATTGCGAACACTGTGATTTTGAGGCAGATCGCCGACATCTGATCATGCACGTTCGTAAAGAGCATCCTGACAAGATGATTCAATGTGATCAGTGCAACAAAAAGTTTGCCTTCAAGGTATCCTTGTGGAATCATGTGGTAATCATGCACGGCACAGCTAAGTTTAAATGCGATCAGTGTACAAGATCATTTCGATCTGAGGAAAAGCTTCGTATGCATTCATTTATGCATTCAGAAAATAAGCCGTTTGCTTGTGAGATCTGCGGCAAAGGTTGTCTTACCAAACGACATCTCGATGCCCACGTACTCATCCATGAGCAACGCCAGCAGTTGTACTGCCAGATGTGTGACCGTCATTTCGCCACTAATCACAATTATCGTAACCATATGAAGCTGCATACAGGACAGAAGGACTTCTTCTGCGATATATGTAATGCCGGCTTCCCGATCAAAGCACGTCTAACGCAACATAAGCGTTTACATCACTCTGGCGAACAGTACGTTTGTGATATGTGTGGAAAGGCTTTCAAAGCGCGACATATTCTTAACGACCACAAAGCACTTAGACATTCAAATGAAAAGGCATGGGTATGTGAGATTTGCGGTGCAGGCTTCAAGCTTAAGAGCGTTTTGGTTCGCCATCTCAAAACACATAGTGACGAGAGACCCTACCGTTGCGATATATGCGACAAGGCATTCAAGGATCGATCTACGCTTGGCGTACATCGTAAGACGCACTCGACGGACCGGCCATTTCTTTGCGAGCAGTGTGGTATGTCTTTCAAGCGCAACGCCGAACGCAAAAAGCATAATTGCATCGGACGTATGGTACATATTCCCGAGGATAGTTCACAGTCCCATCACGGACAAATGGGAGGGCCAAATCAGACAGGGAATTTGGCGGGGCTGCCCCACGCTCTGGAGTCTCACGTACCCAATTCCCATGTAGGAGTTGTCAGCCCTCACGTTAGTGTGGGTGGCGGAAGCCATGCTTCGCACCACCTGGTAACAAGCCACCGATCAGTTCCATTAAGTAGCTTGATGCACCCGCATTCAGCGTCGCTTATGTCGCCTGCTACTCCGGGAACGTCGCTTCAAGCTCAGCTTATGCAGTTGCTTGATGAAGGCCTACATGCCGCTGGCACGACACACCAGAATCATCAACAGCAGCAGCATCCTCAACAGGCAGGAAACTTCTCTGTGAATTAAAAAGACTGCAAAGAAAAGGCGCCACAGGTGGAAAATCTCGCCGTCAATTGTGTGTGAACAGATGTTACTGGTTTTCTTACAAAATAAGTCCAGAAATTGCTCACCTTTTGGGGCTTATTATCTAAATTAATTTGTGGATGCCATTGCCAGCGATCCGACCATGTACTGTCGCATGTACTTGCTGTGTGAAGAACTTAAATGTTACTTTAATATATAAAGTCCTCTGTATAAAGAAAATGATGATCCAAGAACAACTATTCAACAGTGAAGGCGAAGTAAACGGATGCAAATGTGAATCCCTCCTGCTTTCTATTAATGAAACGCCAATTTGTGAACGTAAACATTAAATCATTATATTAGGTAATAATGTTCAACTACTTAAAAAAGAAAGAAATCGGCCGATAAGTGGCTGTACATTTTTTGTGGCTTAGGAAAATGATGGTCTATTAGAAACCGATTAGCGATACATTGCAGAACGAGGGCTTTTAAAAGTCATATTCAATTTAACAATTCAGTAAATTTATAGGAGAAATAATCGACTGAAACTAAATTTGAATGCTTATAGGCGATTATTGTTATTATTACTAATATCAAAAATGTAGCCGATATTTTGGGCGCTTCCGAAGTGTATATACGTACATGTATCTACCTATGGTAGAAGCTATATACAGTATGCTGAAATCGTATGTCGTAGTGCCAACCTTGACTAAGATTTATTGAGAAATATTAAATTATCCCGCCGGGTCCCGCTGAGATCAGAGACATTTTACTCAATGTGTATGCAATTCTATCTCACAATTTACTGAAGGCGATATGTGTATAAACAAGCATACTTTATACATATGTATATATATGCATAATTGTATATATCTATGGTAGAATGAGATGGAAACCATACTGAACAATGAAACAAATAAAACGAAATCTCCAATGTTACGTCCTTTGAGGTAATACGAGTAATACATAACCATTTGTTCTACAAGTTTTCGTAAACTCTAGAAAGTGGTGATGGGTAATCTCCATCATGAGAATGCTAGAGCCGTAGAGGTTCTGCGAAGAAGGTATTGTCGGCTTACTCTCTCCACATGCATAGAAGGTTTTACATAATAATAGGTATGAGTTTATTTTTCGTTTAATCATACTTATCGTATAATGTATACAACAATGCGTGTTAAAAATTATATTACCTAAGCGTGTTCTGTTTAAAATATGATAATTGAAAGGTATAAACGTCTGGTTCTCAGATTATAGGTTACACTTTGTATAATTCCTGCGCTGAATTTTTAAAGCTCCCTGATCTGTTGTTCCGTTGCCTTGCTAAGGTCCCTACATAGAGCTAGACCCTTGAACTTTTCAAAGTAACTTAATTTTCTATCTTTTAGCGAGACTTTCGGACAATCACATCAAATACCAAGAGGCTTATTGCGATGTAGTGTCATCATTTTAAGTTTTAGGGTTCCCTTGACACAATACAAACATTATGAGACTCAGGAGCTTCACTTGCAAGCTTTTGCAATAAGGAGCTCATAAATATGGAAGTTCCAATTCTGTAAAAAAAATATGGAAGGCTATGATCAAGTACGGTAATTAAGATTAATTACAAATATTATTTTGTTTCTCCATTTTCTGTGCGTTCTGATCTCAGTGCTGCTCTTAGTGCCAAGTTAAAGTGATTTCTGGCCTTTTAAGTACGCTTGTTTGTTTAACACGAGAATGCAAACGATTTTTGGGTTAGATGCAAAGCCTGTCCGAAGACAAAGGGAGAAACAAATATAGTATACATTTTGTAATTGGTTTGGTTGACGAAAGTTTGCGGCTTTCCTCCGTGAATAGGCATTCCGCAGTTGGAAGACTATATACTATATACTTCGAGCACCTTATAGTTACCTATCACGCACCGATCCGATGCGTGTTCAAAATCTCTAGATCACCAAGATTTGCTCTTACTTTTTTCTTTCGGAACTAGCTGAAGTTGTCCAATCTCTTCTATTGCAGTAATATGTATGTATTACGATTTATTGAACGTTTGATTGCATGCGAAAGTTCAATTCTTATATACCATCAAGTCCGATTATTTTATATACATTCTTGGACTAATATCATCTTCGTTACCGCAACGGCGATACTGTCCGACAAAATTTAGACGTTTTTGTAAGTAAGTAGTAGAGTAAGTAATAGTAGAGTAAGAACATAAGATTAGTTGTAACACAGCTACATCGACCAAATGTTCTAGTGGTTCGTGTTTCTGATATATTTGAGTTCCCGACGAATCCTCAGACATACGGTTAAACCGGGTCTGATTATGGCAGACTGCTAATAAACTTTTTGGTAGAGCGTATACAATGCTTGGTACAATGAAACCATAATCGCGATCAGATACTTAGAGAGACGTGTCTTTGAAATTGAATGGGGGAAATTTTTAAGCTAATGATAGCGCTCTTAGCAAAACCGTTAATATATAGCCTAATGGGCCGAAAGATTTATCATACATATCTTTACCTTTCTAGTAGCACTAAATTGGGAAATCACGTAATTCAACAAGGTGAGCCTGAAAGTTGATTATACTTTTTTAAAAGTTAAAAGTCAAAAAATGCTTTTCTAGGTACATGTCTGTCGTGTACCGTACAGATCAAAACTATAATTAATAGCCATTGTGTGTTATGTATTATTGATGACAAGCATTACCTTGTATTAACTAATTGCCATGCTTCTTAAAGTGAACAAAATCGACAGTCAATAGTTTGTAGTATCTCAACATATTAGGAACTATTGATAGAACTGACTCTGGGCATTGACTATTAGCCTAGTAGTTTCTCGAACTGAACCGATCTAAATTATCAAATAATGCTAATTCGAAAAACGCAAATGTGTCGTATGCATTTTTTTCGACGCTGGATTACACATTGGACCTGGTAGCTCAACGGTTTTTCACATTACAATATATACATATATTTTTGCACCATTTTGGAACTGGCCGTGCCTCATTTGCGTTTCAAAATTGACTGGCCGTGAAAAGAAAACTACGGGGAGCATTTTTGCTTTTTGAGTTATATTCACTAGAGCCTTTGTTTACGCGCGTGGAAATGCGTATTTTCGGTGTAAAAGTCTTTCTTTATTCAACGCCAATGCCACACTTCTGCCAAAGTATGAAAGTCATAGATACGGTTCTGATGTATAAAACTGAGCATTTTTTTATAAAAATAAACACTTTATGGTAATTCCAGCCGAAAAAATAAGTGCGTGTCTTTTTTTTGCAGGGAATAATTTTAAAAAATTCAGAAAAGGCTAACCAACCCCATTATACATTTGGTGATTACAGACATGCCCAGAGTTGGTCCCCACGCACGATCCAAAAAAAATTATCGAATAGTGCAATTGAATAACTTACCCCTCGCAGGATACTGAGGAATCGTGTATTTAATCTAACATATTCACATAATATACATGTGACATAAAGTTTAACATATTTTATTCAACCCACGCCTTGTGGAGCGAACCTTCTATGAATGATACACGCATTCGTCTGCTATATGGGCTCTGTAATGATGGCTTGGCTTTATCTGGAAGATGTTCGTTTAGTTCGGGTTCCGAGCCCGTGTGAAACCTCACTTGTTTGTAGCAACCTGTGCTTCTTTTAGCTTGCTAAGATAAGGAGGATAACGTGCACTGCATATTGAATGTGACAGTAGGTAAACCTGTAAAATTGTTCAGTCTTGTAGCGGCTTGATTTTTTCGCCGAAATTTTCCTTCAATGATCAGTCCACGAAGCGTCAGCTGGTAAGAACCGTTTCAGAAAGACGCAAGGTTCTTTGACTTTACCCTGACCGAGAATAGTTCCGTCGCATATTCTTTTGTACTTCACGTTTTTACTTTGACCATTTGAAGGCCGCTAGATGAACATTATGCCCGCCCTTGAATATGATTTTTTGTATACACGACCGTCTTTTTGACGAAAGTATGAGAAGTATCATAGAAGACGGTGCGCGATATTCAATGATATTAGGTAGTTCAAAGAGGAATTTCGTTTAGATTTATGTATCGAGTGGGAAAGGGATATCTTTTTCAGATTAAATTTGAGAAATCTTGCCAGTTTTATCCGCAGTTTGGTACAAACATTTACTAAATCAATCAGAACTTTTCGCGTCCAGTGCCACTTTGACGATAATCAAAATTGTATGGGTTCAATTAGAAGTTAAATAGACGATTGCATAGAAAGGACTGATTATCGCGCAATTTAATATCTGAGAAGGAAATGTCGAACGAAATGAATATATGTGTCTTAATCATGTATGGGTAGCTACGGCAATGTAATAAAATGAAAGCCAATTTACAGGTGCGGAGCTTTTTACGCGCAAGTTTTTCTACTGCTCAAACTAGTGTTGTGGATTCTGCTGAAATAACATCTAGCTAACTAAGTAACAGTTTTAATTAAAACAACGTTTAAAATGGAGATTAAACGTCACTATTTTTCGGCTAGCGGTATTTTTACTTTTCGATTGTAGTAGAACAATTGCTTTAAGATAATACAGTTCGCAAAGGAATGTCAGTATGGAAAACGTAGTCTTTGATATTGTTTGGAAGATTTGTTTGCAGATGTCAAACTATTTGTGGCAATTAATAGTGTTTTTGTTTCAGATGTATTATAAGGAGTGATTATTGATCTTTTCACAGCCAAAAAAAGGTGAGAAGATCTTTCGGTTCAAATATTGTGTGTGAAGGTGACTAATATGAAGCATGTATCAACTTAGGCGGCCAGAGCCAACGCTGCGTATCGCCAAAAATAAAATTTAAATGACCGCGCGTTGTTTAAACTTAGAATATTCATTACATAAGCAAGGGTTCACTTATCGGATATCGTCCAGAAAGCATGATTTTAGTCAATAATGATATAGCCGAAAACGTGCCACAGATTACGAAACTAAGCATCGTCAATTATTTAGATGAAGGGAATTTGCTGGTGTTAGGTAACTACTTAGGTGTTTGCCACTGAAGTGTGGTTTCAAAGTTTGAACCAGAGGTTCCTGACTGAAGAAGTTAGGAAGCTCTGGTTCTATTCACATGTCCTGACCGGTAGGGCACTTTGAAAAGGGCAAAATGTCTTTTCGTTATAAATACGTAATATACGAAATCCTACTTCGAGTTGCTATCCTTGCTATTATCTCTAAAAGTATATGGCAACTTCTTTATTATGGGGGAGTTCCTCGCGCAGATCACACGTTTTGGAAAACATCGATAGAGTAGCTGAGTTTTGTCGCATAAACAAAGTTGCCATGCAACAGATAATCAGTCTATGATTACATACTTAGGAAGCACATTTATTAGAAAACTAATTTTACGTTTTTCTATATTTTTTTGATCGTGAAAAGGCACTGTTTACCAGTGTTCCTTTAGCGCATATGGTCGACGACAGTGGACCCGTTACAGCACAAGGATACGTCTGCTTTTGATTTAGGCCAAATGGTTATACTATTTGGGGGCTTCATAGATCAACGTATCGACATAGCACGTCAAATTTGCAGCACTTGCCACGAGAACAGCTGGTTGTTTCCCTATTTCTCTTAGGCCAATTGTAGTGCTGTTGCTAAATCCTAATACACTAGACAAAGTGAAGATGTCACACTCTTCTACAGAGTGAGAACGCGTCTACAAATTTTTATGGCTCCATTTTTATTATACACATTTTACGAAAGAACTGGTAAAAATTTATGATGAAGGGCTGACGCTGCAAATGGTCTCTTCGTGTGACTAAAAGCCGTTCGAAATTGTAATGTACATGTGGCACCGCTCAGTGCAATTCAAAATAAATTGCCGAAGCTCAAATTATTGCTTTCAAAGCTGGACATATAATGCATCGTGACCTCTTAATTGCTGGGCAAATCGAGTTTGGGTTCACGGATGCGCACACAATGTTTGAGCATGATCTTAAAACTACTTAATTTGTTCAGTGCGTGTGCCAAATATGGCCTTCGGCGGATGCCAAGGAGAACCTTATGCAATCGGGAAACGCATATGTTAAAGAAAAAAAACCGAGAAGGCCTAATTCTTTCTCACTGACAACGTTAAGCAAATTCTGTATACCCGTCAAAAGCGGAAGCTGCTCTTCAACTACTAATAATAATGGTAGTTAACGAATAAAATCATTAAGAAAGATCGTCGTTTTCTAAGTTGTTTGGTAAAGCGCACAAATATATTAGAAGTTCTAGTTAGGTATTTCGCTGCACTTACAAATGTCGTATATTAAGTGAGTACACAGACTACTTATACAATACACTAAACATCGATGTATCAAATGTGTCGATCTATCAGCGAGTCACTTTTTTGTGTTGTATTTTGAAATTTACGAAGTGGTATTATTACCGCTTCTGGCTATGCCTATGGATTTTTAATTAAAGTTGCAAAGTGTAACCTGAAAATGTAAGATAGAAAGTTTAATTTTACGGTAACTGTAGGCCTATTATAGGTTATTTGATTTACATGGTTATAACATTTTAGACGTTTATTTAGCCTATTATATACGTTTTTATGTGTTGGCTCAAACTTTGAAGTATTCTAACACATCTAAATATTGAGTTGTTTGACTGACTGAAAATCATTACCTAATATGCCCTAGAGAACTATTGATATATATAAAGCTAGAATAAACGCAAATATCAATATGACATTTTTTCAAAATTTCAGCTTTACGTTGTAAATATATGGATGCCTCAAAGGATTCTGAAGGACCTGGGGATATTGCATCTGATGCTAGAGCGGTATTTGAGGAAGCTACCGGATCTTTAACAGATCTTAACCCCAACGCTCTGTATCATGGTGTCGTCTTGCCGCCGGCAAACTTTGAATCTGTGTATGATCAAAGAGACAACGATGAGGTGCTCAGTGATATTCGACAGGTAACTAAGGAATCGACTAACAAAACAAGTAACTACAAACTGTCGAAGTACGATTAAATGATCGAAACATAGAAGCATGCTATTAGGCTATTTTTACAATAGCAAGCGTTTCTCTATTGGGATGAAAAATTTATTCCCTACGTCAAAATACATGATCCAAAAAACCAAAATACTCACTTATCAATACAAAACAGAAACGAAAAACTCTGTTGGTGTTTTATTAAAAATTGAAAAGAATTATGATCGACTTCCTTTTAACGTAAGTAGGTCTATGCTGAGTCTGAAGAAAAATCTGAAACGGTTTTACTCTTCTGTCACGCAAACAAATATTTAGACCTTCCAGCTCAGATTTCCCAAAAAGTTCGAATAAACTATACTAGGTTACGGTTTGTGGAGCTAACGAATATTATATAAATATGTGTACCTCACGCGGGTGGTAGATGGCGAATCATATAATCCGTGTTCCCTGTGTTTCCTAACTGTAGGACACTCCCGAAAGTTGAACATACCTGGGATTCGTTTAGACACTTGATTTCATCATTTTCTAACGGTTTGTTTACTCGTCGTGACTCTCCATTTAGGTGAAATCTGAACTCGAAAGCGGTGTACTTGCACAGACCAGTATTCGAAGCCATGAGGATCCCGTTGTCCTCAGTTCAGAATCTCAGCCTTCGTCCACGAGTGGCTACGACCCGGTGGCTCAGGTTGAAGTACAGAATATGTTGGTTCTTGTGGAACATCAGCAGGCATTGCACTCAACACAACAGCAACAGCCGCAGCAGCATCAGCCCTCTGCGCAACTACAACCAGTGGCGGTAAGAGTACTGCATCAAGAGGAACCTGACCTAGATGAGAACCAAGAACAACGAGAAGAAAGTCATCAGGTGATTCATTCCATTCAACAAATTAACCCGCTTCTAGAACGCGCGTCTCAGCATTCATCACGTCAAGTTCATTCGCAGTCGCAGCTACCAACCGATGTTCCGGAGTGTTCTCCGACCTCAAATCAACTGGAGGACGCCATACCACCATTACAGATGATCCTTGATCCGACAATTAACCGTCAACAGCCACAAGGAGAACTTTTATCAACTAGCCCTTTGCAGGAACGGCCGTCATCCATCAAGGGGCCATCTCACAGAGCTATGAAACCTGAAAAAAGCAGACCCATCAGAGGCGAGGTATGTTCACAAGTTGACACGACAGTTCACTTTCTACACGATAATTTGAAATTATCAAATATATTTCTGTTAAAAATTAACTCTTATATGCGATTTGTCTTTGCATTTGGTAGTTGATGTATTTGAGCTTTGCTTGTCTAATGTCCAAATTAAAGTAGCTTTCACAACTTTACTACATTATGTGTTTATTAGGTACGTTAAATATTGAGTTGGGCCTTTTTTCAGTTTTCACTGTGGAATGTATTCTTCTAACTTGGATCACATATCGTGATTTCGCAAGAAGAGTCGCCTTATCTTGGGAGTTTAATGTACATTGTTTGTCGTATTTCACAAATTTCTTAGTTTCGTCAGTGATTAGAAATTTCAATCGCAAAAAAATACAGAATGTTATGAAAATGAAGTAATTCATAGGATTTCATAACCTAAATAATCAAACACTTAGAAGTATATGGATCGTTAGTTCATAGCGATCTGATTGCTCCCAGCTTATCAATAACCATAGATCTTTAAATTTAATTGCCCTTTATATAGAAGGGGCAGTCAGTTATTGCGGATGTGGTAAATGGTACCGTAGGAAATGAGGAACATGTGTCACAGAGTCAACAATTAGAAGGAAGTACAAGCGAAGACCTAAGCGGGCTCAGCCAAGTGGTTGTCAGAGATAACCCAAGCGAGGTAAAAAGAAGTTTTAAAAATACTATGCATTGTAAAAATTAGTGCAGAGCCCAATATTTAAAACCGAATAATGAAGACTAGCCTGAAGTTAAATACTGCTCAAATTGAGTGTCTTCTCTTTGTTTCAGGTAGTAACAATAAAAGTCGAGGATCGCTTGCCTGGTGAGTCATTCATGGAGGTTGAAGTAGCTCCATCGAATGAGGTCGAATCTGAAAGTTCAATGAAAACTTTTTGTAGCATTTACATAAACGACGCCAGGCTACGGCAAGAGATTGCCGCAGAAAGTGAAGTCGCCGAACCTTTAAAAGATGTAATTGTAACGAGTGAAATTGATGATGAGTTAAAAGACCTCATAAAACTAAGGTTAAAGACGTTTGAGAATATAAGAGAAGACGCCGCTACTCAGTTGCTTGCCATAGATGCTCTCCTCGCAGTTTATCAGAAGCTACTGCGTAAGGTTTCCATCCCGGTACTCGAATTAGGCGATCTGCTGGAGAATTGTAAAGCATACAGTCCGGAGCGCATTAAGAAGATTGTGGGGAGCATTCTATGCCAGCTTGTCATGTTTAACGAACGCGTGATTCGTGATCGACGAGTCAAGGTACTAACATACCTTGGTAAGTCTGCCAACCTCGCGGATGGACATCGCATTCCTCATCGTTCCGGGGAGGCCCTATTTGGAAAGTTGTTCATTGAGCAACACCATCTCATTGAGATGAAGCGGAGTCGAAGAACGACGACGCGAACTGATAATAATGCGTTGAGGACCGCAACGGTCAGTCGAGCAAAGCGGCGTCGAAAAAACCCTCAAGAGAGCAAATCTGACGATTGGGCTAATCGTATGCAGGCAGACGCGATCATCCAGGAAGTTGCTGTGGCAGACGGTAAACCTAGTAATGGTAAATATACGACTAAAGCCTCTAACAAACTAAAATTGAGCATCTAGGAGTGTAAGGAAATCTATAGGAAAATAGCGTAAAAAACTGTATGAAAAAAAAGCCCACGAATCAAGTTAAGTGTCTATATATCTGTGCTTAAGATACAACTTTGCCTTACTTTTGCTGATGTTGTTGTTGTTCTTGCTGTTGTTGTTTTCAGAAGCAATAGAGGAAATTCTTGAGGAGATCAAATCAGCCAGGCGATCTACAAAACGGCGACACCCCAAGGTGGTTCTGGATGATCAGGTAATTAGCGACAAAGCTCCGAAGAAGGCCACGGAATGTGTGTGGCGAGAGAAGAGCACAAAACAGAAGCCTGTGACGAACCGTGAAATTGTGAAGCTAGAAAGCGAACAAGAAAAACGCATTCCATTTCAGGTAGAAGAATTCCAGTCCGTTTTAGTTACCTCTGCTGCTATGCTTCCCGAGTTCAACTCAACAAATGGGACCGATGCAAGCAAAACGAAAGAAAATGGTCGCAGAGCACGAGTAGCTCGGAAAGCACAGGCCCAACCAGAAATGATCCCTCTTCATCTGGTAGATGGTAACAATGAAGACAATGGAGAGGAAGACGAGGAAAGCTACGACGATGATAGAGATGCGGATTTCCCCCAGCCGCCACCTAATGACGAGGAATTAGAAGATGAGGCGATTTCAAATGAAGTATCAACTCAAGTAGGAAACAAAGTTAGGAAAAAATCCGGAGTTCCTTTCTTAGTTAAAGTTGAGCGTAAGCTAGATAACAACTGCGACCACTGCGAATACGTTGCGGAGAAACGGCGCCAACTCGTCCTGCACGTGAAGAATGTTCATGCGGACAAGATGATCGCTTGTGATGCGTGCGACAAACGATTCGCGTTCAAGATCTCATTGTGGAATCACAAGAATGCCATGCATTTGGGTGCCGAACATAAGTGCCCACATCCACATTGCACACGCTCGTTCAAAGACGAAGATAAACTCCGCACGCATCTTTTTGTTCATTCCGCTGAAAAACCGTTTACGTGCGATATCTGCGGTAGAGGCTGTCTAACAAAGGTTCACCTTGACTCTCACGTGAAAGTGCACGAACGCCGTGATACGCAATACTGTCAAACATGCAATCGCTATTTTGGCTCTAATCATACTTTCCGAAATCACATGAAGCTGCATGCAGGTAAAAAGGAATGGTTCTGCGATATCTGCAACGCCGGCTTTCCTATCAAACCTCGACTGGTGCTGCATAAGAAGATTGCCCACTCGGATGAACAGTTCATTTGTGACGAGTGTGGTAAGGGTTTTAAAATGAAGCACATCCTTAATGATCATAAGGCGCTTATACATTCAACACGGAAAGCTTTTGTCTGCGAGGTGTGCGGCGTCGGCTTTAAGCTTCGGAGTGTTCTGAGACGTCATATGAAAACCCATAGCGACGAACGTCCTCATAAGTGCGAGCTATGTGATAAAGCGTTCAAAGTCAAGTCAACTCTCGTCGAGCATCGAAAGACGCACACAAATGAAAAACCATTCCTTTGCGAACAATGCGGGGTCGCCTTCAAGCGGAACGCCGAGCGACGTAAGCACAGCTGCATGAGTGGTACCAAACATGTCGTCATGCAGGTCCCATTGCCACACCTTCAGTCAACAACACTAATAGCTTCAACAGCAGCAGAAACAGGACATGCACATGACTCAACTGGAGCACAGCTGGTGACTTGTTCAACAGGTTCAACACAGGTTCAACTGCCGCAGGTGTCCACCGGTCATGCGGGTCCTACACAGTTGCAAGTAGCAGTAGTAACTAGTGGGGGTCAAGCTGCAGCCCAACATTTAGTGGCACATGTGCCTTTACAGCTGGGCGCTCAGATGATTCAAATTATGAGCCCTGGCACACTAGTTTCACCAGTGCCAGGTGTACAAACAGGCAGCGTCCAATCAGGAGGTCAACTGATGGTACAGCAAGTTGTTCAGCAACTGCATGACGCCCAACATAGTGGACAACCACAGATGCCCACGGGCCAAGCAGCGGCTCCAGGTAGTGGAACGTCCGCAGCGACTCATACACAATTTGCAAATTTCTCAGTTAGCTAATTTTCACATATATTAAATCAAGAAGAAGGTTATTATTTAGAAGACAGGCTGTCAAAATTTACTTATTGCTCATCTAGTGGCTTCGGGCAATTTTTGCTGACTATTCATGCAGCGACGTTAATCAGATATAACAGATACTTTTGGTAAATAAGAGGGGAGCCTCATGTTGTCAGTTTGGGTAGGGTGTAATTTCGAGAAAAACGAGTGGCTAACATATATTAGCTAATATTCTTTTTCGCAGTATTAATAAATTAAGTGAACCTAATATTAATTATCGGTTGTTTAATTTTTCCTTTGTATCAGTAGTGATAAATAATTATGCACTCAATCAATACTCTTCGTTACGATTCAACTAGTAAAAATTACAGATGTGCATATGTTACTATGATAATTACGCTACAGCTACAGAATTTCAGCCTAAAAACCTTGGTTAGAAGGGAGATTTTTACTTAACCTGATGGCAGGACAATTTTACCAGAGAGATTACTAAATTCAAAAAGAAAGCAGCAACAGTGCCGCATTATAGCAGACGCTGTATGACTTAAATTGTGCCTGGCCTACGGATAGTCACCAACCAATGACCGCTTTCAACAAGAAAAAGCTGAAACACATTGAAAACTGTCATGGCATACCTTTGTTCTACACTTTGAAAGGGTTCAAATGACTGATAGTGTAATATGTAAATATTACAAAAAAAAAACAGAGCGAATCTAATACTAACTATTGTTTTACCGGTATGCCGATTCTTCCTTGCTTATCTTTTTTCTTTGTAAAAGGTATCAAAGGCAACAATGTTATAAATAACAAAGTTGTACTTGAGCAGAGCAAGGTTGGTTATCTGTAGCGCAGGATATGGGACATGTTGGCATCGACATTTCTTTGACACAATTCTATTATTATATGGGTAAACATACTGCCTTTATATATATATATATATATATATATATATATATATATATATATATACTCCCAAGTTTCATCTTTGTACATAAAGCTGTATATGGATTTTCTAGAACATTGGTAAATAAATACTGGCTTGTCTTGTAATTGGATTGCGAATAACGTGTACTTTGTCTTTAAAATAACAACTGGTTGGCACGTTCTCTAATAAGACGTATCAATGGGATGCTTAATAGACTAGATTCAAAGTAAGTCAGAAATCCTCCTGACTTCCCCCTTAAGGTAGGAATTTGATCACAGCAGATTTTTAACGCTCCTAGAACAGGTTCATTACGAGGTTACGTGCAACCAGTGTGAGCATTATTATATACCTTACTCATATTACTATTATAAAAATAGTCTTTATCGTACCACAAGCAATACCTACGATAGAACAGGAACCCATTTTTTTGCTTAGATGTGATGTAATAAGTCCTTATACAGTTTTACCAGTGACTATGGATAGCAAAAGGTTAACTCCTACAGTTTTTAAACTTTCCACAAACTACTTCTCGTATAATTCATATTATTAGTTTTTCTCGGATACATTATTATTTATTTACCTGATCTATTTATTTTTTTCGACGGTTCAACTCTTTTTATATATAACACCTTTGACTCATATTATTATAGCTATATTTGCACATCGAAAGCAATTGCTCTATGATGAAAAAATTTATCTAAACGGAGAGGAACAAATTAAACTTCTTACAGATAATACTGTCTAAGAGGTAGCCTCGGTTTTTTCGCACTATTTTTCAGCCAAAATTGTAGTAAACATTATTTATGCTTTAAAGTAATAGTACTAGACTAAATATGCGCCTTTTTAATCGATGACTTTTTGCCATTTTCTTGATTGTACCATAATCGCATCACTGCAATACTTGTGTGATTTTTGAGAGAAAAATTGTAACAAGTGATTTTTATATCCCTCCAGTAAAGTTTCATTATATATATATATATATATATATAAATATTATATATACATATATATACATATCATTGAAGAAGCTTTGCAGAGACCGAAACAGATATGATGGTGCAAGGCTTGGGTTGTACTAAAACCTACCCAAATTCTCTCAGTTTTTGCCAGGTGGCTAAATATGTATGTGCTCTGGCATTATAATGGTCTAAAACGACTGGTTTCTCCGTTTTCTACTTTCAGTCGATTTTTTTCAATGGTCTGCTCTAATTTTGTTAGTTGCTGACAGTATAGGTAATCGTTTTCCCAGGTGGCAGCAACTCGTAATTCACGATTTTTTTTTTAGTTCCAACAAGCATATAACATTACGTTTTTTGAGGCTATGCCCCAGACTGTGCAGCACATTTTTTATTTTTTGTATTCGCCGTATATGATCCACTTTTCATCACCTGTAAATCAACCACTTGAAGTATAACTTTGTATTTCTGCAAATACGATCGAATAAATTACTCTGCGTCAATTCGTGACATTTAAACATTATGTTTTTTTGCAGCCAGTTTTCTCCGAATGGTTCAAAACTGGTTGGTGATGTATATTTAGTTCCTTGGCGATATCATGGCCACTCACATGTCGATCATTCTCAACTTTTGCAATCATTTCATCAGTTTTTACTGTACTTGATCAACCATGGCAAGGAGCACCTTTTCCATTGAAATTTCCAGAACGACAGCGGTAGAACCATCTTCCAGTCATTTCTTCTGATGACGTATCTTGACCACAGCACACATTTTTTGTGGGCTTGGGCAACAATTTGACCTTTATCGTAGCAGAATTGTAAGATAAAGAGAATTTCTGCAGAAACTTCGCTCACCTTTTAGGCGCTTCATTTCAAGTTCGAGGGAAGGCATTCTGTACCAGCAGCATACCTGGTAGTGCCGAATTTCAATCTCAGCATCATCTCGACGCCGATCCGACGCAACTTATAGTACCTAACTTATGAAACTTTGACGCCATCTAGCTAGAAAAATGATTAATACATTTTTGATGCTTATGCCAAGCTTTTTTGTATAAAGTCCACTTATTTTGAAATCTGTTTCGGGATCCTGTCCTTGCAGAATATACGTCTTTGGCGAGTAAAGCATGAATAGTTTATAAAGACGACAATCAATACCATATTCTTGATAATGGATTCTGCACAGACGAGGATTCTTTGTTTCCGTTGGTATTTGTTTCCGGATTGCAAGGCACATGGTGGATTTGTTAATTATTCTTACCGTATATCAGAATCGCACGGCAATATCACTTTAGTGCGTGAAGACTCTTACAGGCTGATATATCGAGTGCCTGCTCTGAGTAATGATTAAGCTTTTGCTAAACGAGGCGTGAATAAAGGAAGTTAACTCAAGACGTTAATTGGCGTCTTCATCTTGAAGTAAACTTAGGTCCTGGGATTATCCAGACCTATTTATTAACGCTCCACCCGGGGACGTCTAATTCGAACGAGGCCCATGTTTCTATAAACTGGCTTGCGTTTTTTATTGCAACGGAAAAGTTTTGCAAGAATTTAATATTATTAACTCTAGGAGTTTTCCATTATCTTAAAGAAGTTACAATGATAGCGTCAATGCTACTGTTTACGACAGATACTTTGAACATAATTATTGCAATGTCGTTCTATATTTTCAATATTTGTTCTTTATACTATATATTAATCATGATAATAATGCAATATTGATTACTTGAAGAATTATCCGACATTACGTTGTAGATTACGTCTTGGGTGTGAGCTGATACGATAACTGGTACGTAGTATTTCATCGGGCGGAGGCCAGTCGAAACTGATTTGAAGCAATTCATATTCATTACTGGTACAGTATCATAACTTTTAATTGCCGCTAAGGAATATTTTCTAAAGTAAAGCTACAAATCCGATTGCTTTCATATACGCAACCTTTAAGCCAGAAAGCTAAATTTCATTAATTGGATCAAAAATTATATCAATTTTGAATGCGTGCAAATGTTTCCCCAACCAGCGAATTCAATCATTTTTAGTAGAACAGATTTGAGAACGGTTATTTATAACAAACAACGATCCTTTTAGACTTTAAATATTAAAAAAATGAAACCGAGAGAAGGATTTTTGCTACGTTCGATACCGTTGCAATATAATAGACTACACAGTCGATTCCTCCAGCGAAAAGTTGAATGACAACTATAGAGTTCTAGAAAAAGCAGCTAGTTTTGCCAACTTCTTTAACCTTAACCAGTGAACTGAATAACCTAAACTGAACGCTTATTAATTCCAAGTGCCAGTGTAGCCATGCTTCAAAAAAAAGGTTCTAGCCTTCAACAGGGTACCTATTAAAAATGATCAATACAAACAGCAGACAGACACCTGAGAAATGCATTTCTGGTGAGCTGGCATTATAAGCAATCGGAGGGATAACATACTGAACTTCAATCCAAATGCAGTACAAACGGCACAAACGTAAAGTAGAACTAATCTACCGAACTAAATCTTTTTGCTTATGGGACACGCGGTTTTATGTAGCTGCACAACGCGTTAACATCAGCATTGTGGTTCGCTATTTTGATAAAGGAAGCTGACACTATTTTAATTGATTTAACGGCCTACGCGCATCCACAATCATTCTGGTCCATAAACGAAATAAATGAAAATGTTTATTTGATTGATCGGAGAATACATTTTATTTTGTTGAACCTGTTGTGTTCGCTTAATAGTAATTGACGGGTGAACAACCAATCGAAATGTAATAAACCTTGAACAGACGCAGGATAATAGTAACTGAAATGTTCGATGCAAATGAACTAGGCCAACTTACATGTAAGGTACGGCCTAGGTGATTTAAAATGCAGGTTGGGTGTTAGAAAAACATTGTGGAAAAAGTGTATAATTTTGTAGAGGCTATTCCATGCGAGCATTTAGTACAAGATTCTGCTGAGACGATGCCTAAGCAGCAATAATGCTCACGTATTTCTAAAGATAAATATACACTTCCTCTCGCCAACTGAATGAGGATAATTCGTAGTAAAAATATTCCTCTTACAGAAGAAACCGCTTTTTCGTCAGGCTTCTACGGGTCGATTTGTCTCTAGTATAGGGTGTATTGTATCTGCGTCATCATATCTACCTCAGTTTTTGCGATGCCCCTGCGATACTCAAAATGCAATAGCAAGAACCGTTCATAAAAACACGTATTCCATGTTAATACGTTTTGCAGCAAATTAATCTATTCTTTACTACCATTTACCACCCGCTCGAATATACGTGCCTATTACATTAGGAAAATGTCGATATATTGTAGCAAATGGAATACAACGCAGCCGTACGCGCTGCATATTTGTTGGCAGAACTTGTTGGCTATTGTATGGAATATTTTCGAAATAAAATAAGCAGACTCTAAACAAGCATAGTATTAGAACGACGAGCATAAGAACGATGTTGCCCACATTGCTAAACGGAATTCGGAATGTTATATGAAGTATGCGTTCGCTCGTCGAAATCAATTCCAATATATATATATATATATATACGCAAAAATTACAGCCAATGTTACGTGCACGTACTGTATAAGTCTGTGTAGTGGTATAGACAGACAGCCATTTTACACAAAATTGGAGACTGATTTTTTCTTTGGGAATTGTACTGGGAGTAAACCGTTGTGCTGGTATAGGCACCGAGCAATTTTCGAAGATGAAAAAAGACCGACTGTGCTTCAGTGTGAAAGAACGGCACTATACTCTTGTTTGAATTTTGCAGATTCTACTTTGCATAACTTTTGGTCACTATATTAAGCTAAGTTAAGTAATACAGGCAGTATCAGTAAATGTATTTACCCAGGCTATTTAGACCGACAAAGTTCCGGCAATGCAATCCTCGCTTTGGTTTTGTTCTTTCGAATCCGTAGCAGCGCACAAAAAGCCTTCAAGAGCAGCCCGATACTGGACAGAAATCGGCCAAAGACAAAGTGTATCGGGAACAAGTGAGGGGTAAATACGACGGGACTAAGGGGGAGCAACGAGTTTTGCAGCTTTATGGACCTCAGAAGGGATACTACTACTGGCAGCAAAGATGAAACAGACATCAACTA